CACACCATGAGATGTACGAGGACGTCACGACCAGGTCTACAACAACACACACACCATGAGATGTACGAGGACGTCACGACCAGGTCTACAACAACACACACACCATGAGATGTACGAGGACGTCACGACCAGGTCTACAAAAACACACACACCATGAGATGTACGAGGACGTCGCGATCAGGTCTACAACAACACACACACCATGAGATGTACGAGGACGTCGCGATCAGGTCTACAACAACACACACTCCATGAGATGTACGAGGACGTCGCGACCAGGACTACAACAACACACACATCATGAGATGGAGGAGGACGTCGCGACCAGTTCTACAACAACACACACACCATGAGATGTAGGAGGACGTCGCGACCAGGTCTACAACACCACACACACCATGAGATGTACGAGGACGTCGCGACCAGGTCTACAACAACACACACACCATGAGATGCACGAGGACGTCTCGACCAGGTCTACAACAACACACACACCATGAGATGAAGGAGGACGTCGCGACCAGGTCTACAACAACACACACACCATGAGACGTACGAGGACGTCGCGACCAGGTCTACAACAACACACACACCATGAGACACACGAGGACGTCGCGACCAGGTCTACAACAACAGGCTCACCATGAGATGAAGGAGGACGTCGCGACCAGGTCTACAACAACACACACACCATGAGATGCACGAGGACGTCGCGACCAGGTCTACAACAACACACACACCGTGAGATGAAGGAGGACGTCGCGACCAGGTCTACAACAACACACACACCATGAGATGTACGAGGACGTCGCGACCAGGTCTACAACAACACACACACCATGAGATGAAGGAGGACGTCGCGACCAGGTCTACAACAACAAACACACCATGAGATGAAGGAGGACGTCGCGACCAGGTCTACAACAACACACACACCATGAGATGAAGGAGGACGTCGCGACCAGGTCTACAACAACACACACACCATGAGATGTACGAGGACGTCGCGACCAGGTCTACAACAACACACACACCATGAGATGAAGGAGGACGTCGCGACCAGGTCTACAACAACACACACACCATGAGATGTACGAGGACGTCACGACCAGGTCTACAACAACACACACACCATGAGATGTACGAGGACGTCGCGACCAGGTCTACAACAACACACACACCATGAGATGAAGGAGGACGTCGCGACCAGGTCTACAACAACACGCACATCATGAGATGGAGGAGGACGTCGCGACCAGGTCTACAACAACACACACACTATGAGATGTACGAGGACTTCGCGACCAGGTCTACAACACCACACACACCATGAGATGTACGAGGATGTCGCGACCAGGTCTACAACAACACACACACCATGAGATGCACGAGGACGTCTCGACCAGGTCTACAACAACACACACACCATGAGATGAAGGAGGACGTCGCGACCAGGTCTACAACAACACACACACCATGAGATGTACGAGGACGTCGCGACCAGGTCTACAACAACACACACACCATGAGATGTACGAGGACGTCGCGTCCAGGTCTACAACAACAAACACACCATGAGATGTACGAGGACGTCGCGACCAGGTCTACAACAACACACACACCATGAGACGAAGGAGGACGTCGCGACCAGGTCTACAACAACACACACACCATGAGACGTATGAGGATGTCGCGACCAGGTCTACAACAACACACACACCATGAGATGAAGGAGGACGTCGCAACCAGGTCTACAACAACACACACACCATGAGATGAAGGAGGACGTCGCAACCAGGTCTACAACAACACACACACCATGAGATGAAGGAGGACGTCGCGACCAGGTCTACAACAACACACACACCATGAGATGAAGGAGGACGTTGCGACCAGGTCTACAACAACACACACACCATGAGATGAAGGAGGACGTCGCGACCAGGTCTACAACAACACACACACCATGAGATGTACGAGGACGTCGCGACCAGGTCTACAACAACACACACACCATGAGATGTACGAGGACGTCGCGACCAGGTTTACAACACAACACATACCATGAGATGAAGGAGGACGTCGCAACCAGGTCTATAACAACACACACACCATGAGGTGGAGGAGGACGTCGCGACCAGGTCTACAACAACACACACACCATGAGATGAAGGAGGACGTCGCGACCAGGTCTACAACAACACACACATCATGAGATGGAGGAGGACGTCGCGACCAGGTCTACAACAACACACACACCATGAGATGTACGAGGACGTCGCGACCAGGTCTACAACAACACACACACCATGAGACACACGAGGACGTCGCGACCAGGTCTACAACAACAGGCTCACCATGAGATGAAGGAGGACGTCGCGACCAGGTCTACAACAACACACACACCATGAGATGCACGAGGACGTCGCGACCAGGTCTACAACAACACACACACCATGAGATGAAGGAGGACGTCGCGACCAGGTCTACAACAACACACACACCATGAGATGTACGAGGACGTCGCGACCAGGTCTACAACAACACACACACCATGAGATGAAGGAGGACGTCGCGACCAGGTCTACAACAACACACACACCATGAGATGTACGAGGACGTCGCGACCAGGTCTACAACAACGCACACACCATGAGATGTACGAGGACGTCGCGACCAGGTCTACAACAACACACACACCATGAGATGTACGAGGACGTCCCGACCAGGTCTACAACAACACACACACCATGAGATGAAGGAGGACGTCGCGACCAGGTCTACAACAACACACACACCATGAGATGTACGAGGACGTCGCGACCAGGTCTACAACAACACACACACCATGAGATGAAGGAGGACGTCACGACCAGGTCTACAACAACACACACACCATGAGATGTACGAGGACGTCGCGACCAGGTCTACAACAACACACACACCATGAGATGAAGGAGGACGTCGCGACCAGGTCTACAACAACGCACACACCATGAGATGTACGAGGACGTCGCGACCAGGTCTACAACAACACACACACCATGAGATGAAGGAGGACGTCGCGACCAGGTCTACAACAACACACACACCATGAGATGTACGAGGACGTCGCGACCAGGTCTACAACAACACACACACCATGAGATGAAGGAGGACGTCGCGACCATGTCTACAACAACACACACACCATGAGACGTACGAGGACGTCGTGACCAGGTCTACAACAACACACACACCATGAGATGTACGAGGACGTCGCGACCAGGTCTACAACAACACACACACCATGAGACGTATGAGGATGTCGCGACCAGGTCTACAACAACACACACACCATGAGATGAAGGAGGACGTCGCAACCAGGTCTACAACAACACACACACCATGAGATGAAGGAGGACGTCGCAACCAGGTCTACAACAACACACACACCATGAGATGTACGAGGACGTCGCGACCAGGTCTACAACAACACACACACCATGAGATGAAGGAGGACGTTGCGACCAGGTCTACAACAACACACACACCATGAGATGAAGGAGGACGTCGCGACCAGGTCTACAACAACACACACACCATGAGATGTACGAGGACGTCGCGACCAGGTCTACAACAACACACACACCATGAGATGTACGAGGACGTCGCGACCAGGTTTACAACACAACACACACCATGAGATGAAGGAGGACGTCGCAACCAGGTCTATAACAACACACACACCATGAGGTGGAGGAGGACGTCGCGACCAGGTCTACAACAACACACACACCATGAGATGAAGGAGGACGTCGCGACCAGGTCTACAACAACACACACACCATGAGATGAAGGAGGACGTCGCGACCAGGTCTACAACAACACACACACCATGAGATGTACGAGGACGTCGCGACCAGGTCTACAACAACACACACACCATGAGACACACGAGGACGTCGCGACCAGGTCTACAACAACAGGCTCACCATGAGATGAAGGAGGACGTCGCGACCAGGTCTACAACAACACACACACCATGAGATGCACGAGGACGTCGCGACCAGGTCTACAACAACACACACACCATGAGATGAAGGAGGACGTCGCGACCAGGTCTACAACAACACACACACCATGAGATGTACGAGGACGTCGCGACCAGGTCTACAACAACACACACACCATGAGATGAAGGAGGACGTCGCGACCAGGTCTACAACAACACACACACCATGAGATGTACGAGGACGTCGCGACCAGGTCTACAACAACGCACACACCATGAGATGTACGAGGACGTCGCGACCAGGTCTACAACAACACACACACCATAAGATGTACGAGGACGTCGCGACCAGGTCTACAACAACACACACACCATGAGATGAAGGAGGACGTCGCGACCAGGTCTACAACAACACACACACCATGAGATGTACGAGGACGTCGCGACCAGGTCTACAACAACACACACACCATGAGATGAAGGAGGACGTCGCGACCAGGTCTACAACAACACACACACCATGAGATGTACGAGGACGTCGCGACCAGGTCTACAACAACACACACACCATGAGATGAAGGAGGACGTCGCGACCAGGTCTACAACAACACACACACCATGAGATGTACGAGGACGTCGCGACCAGGTCTACAACAATGCACACACCATGAGATGTACGAGGACGTCGCGACCAGGTCTACAACAACACACACACCATGAGATGTACGAGGACGTCGCGACCAGGTCTACAACAACACACACACCATGAGATGAAAGAGGACGTCGCGACCAGGTCTACAACAACACACACACCATGAGATGTACGAGGACGTCGCGACCAGGTCTACAACAACACACACACCATGAGATGAAGGAGGACGTCGCGACCATGTCTACAACAACACACACACCATGAGACGTACGAGGACGTCGTGACCAGGTCTACAACAACACACACACCATGAGACACACGAGGACATCACACCGTGAGACCATGTCTACCTACCGAATGACTGGAAGTCCGTACAGAACACAGTAGCAGGGGACTTGGACGGCTGTTTGGTCGGACTGCGGCGACGACTACGCTGTTGTATGACCATCTCGTCTGGCGACGTCACAGGCGTTGGAGGTAGCCAGGTGTTCAACAAGTCCATCACTGAAACATGGTCAACATCCGGGACTGACAACGAGTGAGTGAGTGAGTGAGTGAGTGAGTGAGTGAGTGAGTGAGTGAGTGAGTGAGTGAGTGAGTGAGTGAGTGAGTGAGTGAGTGAGTGAGTGAGTGAGTGAGTAACAGTGTCCCAGTATCTCAGGTCGGCCAATGCCTCTGGTGACACATGGACTGTCACCAGTATCAGGTAAGAAAAACGTACAACTTTGTGTATAACAACTTCTGGTTTATGTCATACAGCAATGTTTCAATGTGGATTCTTACACCGTTATTATTCATAAAGTTGTAATTTTTTAAACTTATTTGCGGGGGCATGGGTGGCCCAGTAGTCTAAGGCGCCGCGATTCGATGTGCAGAGTTGTGTCCGTTTGGCACGCCAGAAACCTATCATTGTGGGTTTGAATCCAGGTTCATGTTTCTAGGTTTGTCAGCACCATACCCGTGCTCATGGGTTTCACCGAAGTGGTAAATGTCTGAGACCTGCATCACTTTGGGCTTTCCTCCCACATTAAGCTGACACGCCGTGATATAACTGGAATACTGTTAAAAGCGGCGTTAAAACACAACTCACTCACTCACTCATAGGTATAAGCCGAGCTGATATCAAGGACATATCCTCCAATAACAAGTATACTGGCATAGAAAGCACCCACAACACTGTTACACAATTCTAGATCTCTTTGGAACATGAAGCGATAAATTCCATCACACAACGTGTACACAACTAAAAAGAAAATAATAATAAAAAGTTGCAGAGCTACAGATAAGTTGCGTATTTGTGTAAAATACCCCCTAAAACTATTCAAAACCAAATTACTTTCAATTAACTTGCGTACAGAAACACATGCAATTGTTTGAAAACAGCACATGTAAATACCCAATGAAGTTTTTTGAGCATGCATACAACAGAGTTAATTTCCGAAACACAATTATGAGCTTATTTACTTTCCTAGTCAAGCCTATATATTTAGAACAGTTATATACATCTAAAACATTTTTTAAATTTTTTAAAATCTCAAAATGCTTAAAATCGACTCATTTTGGGAAAACCCCAATAGTGTGATGAATAAATGTAATAGATCTAACCCAAAGTAAAATAGAAAGCGTCGAGTAAAAATTCAATTGCTCAAAAAGTCATCGTCTGGAGCTTTGTTGTGGAAACATTAGCTAAAAAAATACACTTGAATATTGTGTTGGTCATGCTGATACAGAAACAAGGTCAGTCAGTGACTGAGTGTGGTCAGCTGGCACTGTAGATAGATCTAGTTGAGTTACAAAGCGAATGTCTTCTCTCTTTCTTTTAAATATTAAATAATATTTATTTGTTTTGAATAAAGTTGAAACTGAAGAAAATATACCCCCCCCCCCCCCCCCCCACCAGAAAAAAGAAAAGAAATATAATAATTATAAATATATAAATTTTAAAAAATACAACGTCCTCCGGACTCATCTGGGGCGTATGGCTTCAACTTTGTCACGCCACATTTCGATGTCTCCCATTTGCTGTACACATTTACTATTCCCCGTGTCCTACTTACCGTGTGCAAGGGCTGGGTTGACGTAATCCTGTCCGCGGACAGGAATATTTCGGAGCGGATATCTGCTGTTCATGTTGGTGTGATCGACGGACTCGCGTCACCATTCACGCGGACCCAACGAGGCGGAACGAGCGATCACACCGGCACCCCACTCCTCAAGCTTACAGAAACTTTTTAACTTCCCAAAAAGTCAGCTGAGACATAAAATTCAACTAAGGAACATAACTTGTAAAACTACACGCTGGAATATAACCCAGTGCGACCGCAATAAATGAGTCTCGGAAATTGTTTACAACTTCGCCATTTCGCGGACTTTTCTTTCATTTGATGCTGCCGCTTTGTCTCTCGCGATTTTGATTGGATACTGAGCAGGTTTCGCGGAATAAGGGAAGTAACTCGAATTATAATTCCAGTCTGCATACCACTTAAAAGTTTTATTGAACCGTACTTTTATTTGAGGGTTAAATAGACTATGTGGAGAAATATCCTGATACATGCATCAATTTCAGATATTTTCAGATTTTCAAGATTGCTACTGACAGAAAATAAACCCTGCATGACTTTTTTATTAAGAACAAACTCTCAAACCTTATTTTATAGAAATGAAATACAAATCTGCAAGGCTAATTTAAACTTACAGTTTAATTTGTCAAATAATGATGGAACCACAATAAATCCATTGATGTTTGGTTCCCGTTAAGTCCTCTAGGACAGACAACGACGATGCAAGTCATGGTATTCCAACTGCTGTAGATCGATGCTCATTACGTCAGTCATTGGTTTGTCTGGCTCAGACGCGATTATCTAAACTGCCCCCACCCCCGCTATATTCGCTATATTCCAGCTATATGACGGTGGTCTGTAAATAATCCAGTCTGGACCAAACAATCCAGTGATTGATATCATGAGCATCGATCCACGCAATTGGGGTCGATGACATGCATCAATCAAGCACGCGATCCCGTTAGTCGCCTCTTACGACAAGTATGGGTTGGTGAACACGTACCCCGGACATTCACGAGTGAGTGAGTGAGTGTGTGGGTGGGTGGATGCGTGCGTACTTTTAGTAGTGTTCACCCAATATCACCGAGGGGGACACAAATTATGGATGACATCGAACCGGGGCTTAGTCCCAACAATTAATTTAATGTGCCGACATCTTCCACGTCATTCTTGTAGGCTGCCATTAAGTACAGAAATTATTAATATCCAAGTACTTTGACGGTGACAACCCCCTTAACTGTTGTTGGGCTTCTATTTCGAGGGTTTCGGAACTTGGCGTGTTGTACGCGGGACTTGGCGTGTTGTACGCGGGACTTGGCGGTGTTGTACGCGGGACTTGGCGGTGTTGTACGCGGGACTTGGCGGTGTTGTACGCGGGACTTGGCGTGTTGTACGCGGGACTTGGCGGTGTTGTAGGCGGGACTTGGCGTGTTGTACGCGGGACTTGGCGTGTTGTACGCGGGACTTGGCGGTGTTGTAGGCGGGACTTGGCGTGTTGTACGAGGGACTTGGCGTGTTGTACGCGGGACTTGGCGTGTTGTAGGCGGGACTTGGCGGTGTTGTACGCGGGACTTGGCGGTGTTGTAGGCGGGACTTGGCGTGTTGTACGAGGGACTTGGCGTGTTGTACGCGGGACTTGGCGGTGTTGTAGGCGGAACTTGGCGTGTTGTACGAGGGACCTGGCGGTGTTGTACGCGGGACTTGGCGGTGTTGTAGGCGGGACTTGGCGTGTTGTACGCGGGACTTGGCGGTGTTGTAGGCGGGACTTGGCGTGTTGTACGAGGGACTTGGCAGTGTTGTACGCGGGACTTGGCGTGTTGTACGCGGGACTTGGCGGTGTTGTAGGCGGGACTTGGCGTGTTGTACGCGGGACTTGGCGTGTTGTAGGCGGGACTTGGCGTGTTGTACGAGGGACTTGGCAGTGTTGTACGCGGGACTTGGCGTGTTGTACGAGGGACTTGGCGGTGTTGTACGCGGGACTTGGCAGTGTTGTACGCGGGACGTATATTCAACATCCTCAAACAATTAACGGTGTACGTAACACATTCCTTTATATATTTTATGTGAAGTAACTGAACTTCAAATCGCACCTTTTATGACCAAGTCACGTGTTCTTCAGGTTTTCGTCTGTTTCCGGCACACGCCAGGACATTATTGACTCATTCGTGACGAACCAATCTCATTGATTGGTGACGAGTTCGTGACGAACTCGTGTCATTCCGGGAGAAGACGTGCATCCCTCGCAGGTTTCCGTATTGTCATATGAACACGAGAACTGCTTGTAAAAGAAATGATAACTCTTTTTCTCCCCACGTTTGACAATCACTGGATTGTCTGGTCCAGACTCGATTATTTACAGACCGCCATCATATAGCTGGAATATTGCTGAGTGAACCCCTCTATTTGATATTTTACAGCCATAACTTTAGGGTATTGCTCAAATTGTTCACAGCCTTTTATAATAATACGATATTGATGAGTTTGTGACTGTGTTGTTCCAGACCTGTATACTGGTCTTTAATTAGTTAAGTCCCTGGGATATAAAGGGTCTTTAATTAGTTAAGTCTCTGGGATATAAAGGGTCTTTAATTAGTTAAGTCTCTGGGATATAAAGGATCTCAGGCCACTTATATCGAGTCTACACTGTGACAGCCAAACATCACCAAATTCCAGATCTTCTAGTATTGATTTTACCTTAGTAACCCGTTCATGTTTACAGATACCAGATATCACATCAGTGAGTCATATTTACACACAGTATGCGACAACTTCGCAGAGTTTGATTGCCCTAATTTTGACCACTAACAAAGAACAGCTAATCTAATGTATGCAGATAACGGGGGAGTTCCAGCCTCCCCATTTAACACAGGAAGTGGTGGGCATGTTATAACACAGGAAGTGGTGGGCATGTTATAACACAGGAAGTGGTGGGCATGTTATAACACAGGAAGTGGTGGGCATGTTATGACACAGGGAGTGGTGTGCATGTTTGAACACAGGAAGTGGTGGGCATGTTATAACACAGGAAGTGGTGGGCATGTTATAACACAGGAAGTGGTGGGCATGTTATAACACAGGAAGTGGTGGGCATGTTTGAACACAGGAAGTGGTGGGCATGTTTTAACTCTCCACGACATTTTTAAGACGCGTGATTGCAGATTTTCGAGTAATGCACTGTTGCCCCCGCTCCATACTTCCGAGCCGTAAAGTATGTAATATTTGTTCACCCATACATGAAATAATCTAATGTGACGCTAAAATTATATATTGAGTAAACGACTTTATTTCAGTACCAAAATCATGGCTTTTGTAGTTTTTTTCTTACTTGTGAGGGCGGTCGGGTAACCTAGTCGTTAAAGAGTTCGCTCGTCACGTCACGCCGAAGACCCGGGTTCGATTCCCGACATGGGTAAAACGTGTGAAGCTCATTTCTGGTGTCCCCCGCTGTGATATTGCTGGAATATTGCTAAAGGCGGCGTAAAACCATACTCACTCACTTACTCACTCCTACTTGTGACAAACTTGTTATTTCTGGATAGTATTAGTCCTAGTTACTCGCACTCGTTAGTATTTTCCAACAACTGATTCATTCATAGTGAAGACAAATTTGGATTTTTTTTTTTGAGCCATCTTAACAACAACTTTTGTCTTATCAACAGGTACAGTTAATGTGTTGTATTTACAGAACACTTCAAAGTCACAGTTATATCGCGGCGTGTCAGCTTAATGTGGGAGGAAAGCCCGAAGTGATGCAGGTCTCAGACATTTACCACTTCGGTGAAACCCACGAGCACGGGTATGGTGCTGACAAACCTAGAAACGTAATCGGGGCGAACCGGGATTCGAACCCACAATCAAAGGTTTCTGGCGTGCCCAAGGGACGCAACTCTGCACAGCGAATCGAGGCGCCTCAGACGACTGGGCCATTCACGTGAAAGTTCTCATCCATACTTTGGATGAAACTTCAAACTCACTTAGATCATGTTCTTCTTCAGTGATTGTTCAGATTGCTATCCAAGGGGAATAACTCCTCCAGTGTCGGCTCTTCACCAGGTTTCACTCCTCTGCCCCAGATTTCAGAATCTTTCAAAACGAACTAAGCTTTACGATTTTGATTTTTTTTAAATATGAATATTATAACATACATTTCTTATACGATTTGCAACAAGATAAGCCAGAATGTATGTACGTCACTTATTCAGGTTGTATAAACCCCCCTGATATTCATCACATAAATTTCTATTTTCACTTTCTGTATTTAATGCTGGTATGTAAACCGCGGCTTCTTGTTATTGCGGGAATTTTCTTTTACAATTTCGAAACAATTCGTTTGAATATCTTTGCGTGTATGATTTGTGGACATCGGCAACAGTGACGCAGACATCGGCAACAGTGACGCAGACATCGGCAACAGTGACACAGACATCACGCAGACATCGGCAACAGTGACGCAGACATCGGCAACAGTGACACAGACATCGGCAACAGTGACGCAGACATCGGAAACAGTGACGCAGACATCGGCAACAGTGACACAGACATCACGCAGACATCGGCAACAGTGACGCAGACATCGGCAACAGTGACGCAGACATCACGCAGACATCGGCAACAGTGACGCAGACATCGGCAACAGTGACGCAGACATCGGCAACAGTGACGCAGACATCACGCAGACATCGGCAACAGTGACGCAGACATCGGCAACAGTGACACAGACATCGGAAACAGTGATGCAGACATCACGCAGACATTGGAAACAGTGACGCAGACATCGGCAACAGTGACACAGACATCGGCAATAGTGACGCAGACATCAGCAACAGTGACACAGACATCGGCAACAGTGACACAGACATCGGCAACAGTGACGCAGACATCACGCAGACATTGGAAACAGTGACGCAGACATCGGCAACAGTGACGCAGACATAGGCAACAGTGACACAGACATCACGCAGACATCAGCAACAGTGACACAGACATCAGCAACAGTGACACAGACATCGGAAACAGTGACACAGACATCGGAAACAGTGACGCAGACATCGGCAACAGTGACACAGACATCGGCAACAGTGACGCAGACATCACACAGACATCGGAAACAGTGACGCAGACATCGGCAACAGTGACACAGACATCGGAAACAGTGACGCAGACATCGGCAACAGTGACGCAGACATCGGCAACAGTGACGCAGACATCGGCAACAGTGACGCAGACATCACGCAGACATCGGCAACAGTGACGCAGACATCGGCAACAGTGACACAGACATCGGCAACAGTGATGCAGACATCACACAGACATCGGAAACAGTGACGCAGACATCACGCAGACATCGGCAACAGTGACGCAGACATCGGCAACAGTGACGCAGACATAGGCAACAGTGACACAGAAATCGGCAACAGTGACGCAGACATAGGCAACAGTGACGCAGACATCGGCAACAGTGACACAGACATCGGCAACAGTGACGCAGACATCGGCAACAATGACAAGTCATGATATCCAGCAAAAGAACAAGAAGATGAAACAAGTAGAAATTATTTTATTGCAATTTTTCATTAAAAACAACAGTGTGGATGACGTGAACACAACACATCCACACAACATGGCCAGACGATGGCCACACAGAATCAGGTACAAAGTAGACACAACTGATGGCCACACAGAATCACGTATAAAGTAGACACAACTGATGGATTGTTTACTGAATCCTGTCTTACTGGCTCCTCCCCAGGTGTTCTCTATCCATCATGGTGTTACAGTGAGTGAGTGAGTGAGTGAGTGAGTGGGTGAGTGAGTGAGTGAGTGAGTTGGGTTTAACGCCGCTTTTAACAGTATTCCAGTTATATCACGGCGTGTCAGCTTAATGTGGGAGGAAAGCCCGAAGTAATGCAGGTCTCAAGACGTTTACCACTTCGGTGAAACCCACGAGCACAGATATGGTGCTGACAAACCTAGAAACATAATTGGGGCGAACCGGGATTCGAACCCACAATCATAGATTTCTGGCGTGCCCAAGGGACGCAACTCTGCACAGTGAATCGCGGCGCCTTAGACGACTGGGCCCCCGTGACCCCCTGGTGTTACAGTGTTATCCTTCTGTTGTCATTGTTACAGTGTTATCCTTCTGTTGTCATTGTTACAGTGTTATCCTTCTGTTGTCATTGTTACAGTGTTATCCTTCTGTTGTCATTGTTACAGTGTTATCCTTCTGTTGTCATTGTTACAGTGTTATCCTTCTGTTGTCATTGTTACAGTGTTATCCTTCTGTTGTCATTGTTACAGTGTTATCCTTCTGTTGTCATTGTTACAGTGTTATCCTTCTGTTGTCATTGTTACAGTGTTATCCTTCTGTTGTCATTGTTACAGTGTTATCCTTCTGTTGTCATTGTTACAGTGTTATCCTTCTGTTGTCATTGTTTAACCTACTCACGTTAATCTCCCTCATGTAGGCAATTGTTGTTACTGTTAATCCTCCACCTACTGTATACGTTCTGTACGATGTTCATTATCCAGCCTTGCTTGACAACGGTACAAGGATCTATACTGAAACGTCACCTTGCTTGACAACGGTACAAGGATCTATACTGAAACGTCACCTTGCTTCACAACGGTACAAGGATCTATACTGAAACGTCACCTTGCTTGACAACGGTACAAGGATCTATACTGAAACGTCACCTTGCTTGACAACGGTACAAGGATCTATACTGAAACGTCACCTTGCTTGACAACGGTACAAGGATCTATACTGAAACGTCACCTTGCTTGACAACGGTACAAGGATCTATACTGAAACGTCACCTTGCTTGACAACGGTACAAGGATCTATACTGAAACGTCACCTTGCTTGACAACGGTACAAGGATCTATACTGAAACGTCACCTTGCTTGACAACGGTACAAGGGTCTATACTGAAACGTCACCTTGCTTGGCAACGGTACAAGGATCTATACTGAAACGTCACCTTGCTTGACAACGGTACAAGGGTCTATACTGAAACGTCACCTTGCTTGACAACGGTACAAGGATCTATACTGAAACGTCACCTTGCTTGACAACGGTACAAGGGTCTATACTGAAACGTCACCTTGCTTGACAACGGTACAAGGATCTATACTGAAACGTCACCTTGCTTGACAACGGTACAAGGATCTATACTGAAACATCACCTTGCTTGACAACGGTACAAGGATCTATACTGAAACGTCACCTTGCTTGACAACGGTACAAGGATCTATACTGAAACGTCACCTTGCTTGACAACGGTACAAGGATCTATACTGAAACGTCACCTTGCTTGACAACGGTACAAGGATCTATACTGAAACGTCACCTTGCTTGACAACGGTACAAGGGTCTATACTGAAACGTCACCTTGCTTGGCAACGGTACAAGGATCTATACTGAAACGTCACCTTGCTTGACAACGGTACAAGGGTCTATACTGAAACGTCACCTTGCTTGACAACGGTACAAGGATCTATACTGAAACGTCACCTTGCTTGACAACGGTACAAGGGTCTATACTGAAACGTCACCTTGCTTGACAACGGTACAAGGATCTATACTGAAACGTCACCTTGCTTGACAACGGTACAAGGATCTATACTGAAACATCACCTTGCTTGACAACGGTACAAGGATCTATACTGAAACGTCACCTTGCTTGACAACGGTACAAGGATCTATACTGAAACGTCACCTTGCTTGACAACGGTACAAGGATCTATACTGAAACGTCACCTTGCTTGACAACGGTACAAGGATCTATACAGAAACGTCGCCTGGCTTGACAACGGTACAAGGATCTATACTGAAACGTTGTCTGGCTTGACAACGGAGAAGGATCTATACTGAAACGTCACCTTGCTTGACAACCGTACAAGGATCTATACTGAAATGTCGCCTGGTTTGACAACGGTACAAGGATCTATACTGAAACGTCGCCTGGCTTGACAACGGAGAAGGATCTATACTGAAACGTTGTCTGGCTTGACAACGGAGAAGGATCTATACTGAAACGTACTTCATATATTATTATCATGCCAGCTGTCTTGGATCACAATAATTTATAGAGTTAGAGAGACACCACTGATCACCAATACGCACTTTCAATTTCATTAGCCAAGCAGTTTGTACAAATAGAAAAACAACAGATTCATGCAGGTTTCAATCACGACCAGCAGTCCTTTCATTTTACTGGCTTCTGATTGGTCAATGTGTCTCTGTGTCTCGATCAAGGAGATCGTGGTCCCCGATCAAGGAGGTCGTGGTCACCGATCAAGGAGGTCGTGGTCCCCGATTCTGTTGATGAACATGGCTTGTACAGTGGGGCAGTTTACTCTAACATTGACATGCTATCAGTTGGAATGAAGACCGTAAAGTGAGTGTCATCTTCCTGAGGCAAGGGAGTTAACTGACTATAAAAGTCCAGTTTCCACCCTTGCCGAACTAGGCTGGTATTATGGAGTTATGTTTTGGCTGGACTAACGAGTCTACGCATAGTCCAATCAAAATCACGCACAGAAATCGAAATCCGGTTCGTAAAGTGTCATGCAGATTTCGGTCGACTGCAGGATTTGCATAGCATGTGCACCGCTAACTCGTTGTCAACAGATATTTTCTAAACCTTTTCATGTTTTTAATCAAGGTGCTCACGTGATTTGATGCACTTTGTGATGTAAGGCTCGTTTTATATAGATCTTGATTATCGATCAGATCGTCTTGACTGGGCGCCACCGTTTTGTTTGAAACAAATGCGAGTGATACGAGAGGTTGAATCTGATTGGTCCATAGGAGAGGCTTAGAAGGGACATAACTAGTAATAGCCACTGGTGGCGCTACGATCGAGCCCAGGAATTCCAGCCTAGTTCGGCAAGGGTGGAAACTGGACTTTTAAAGTCAGTGAACTCTCTAGCCTCGGGAGGATGAGTGAGTGTGAGTTTTGTGCATTCATACGCGGCTGCTAAAGTTATCCTTTTGACTGAAAATACGTCTTCATCATTGATTTCTTTAGAACGACATTTTATCACAAAGAGATTATGGCCCTTGTGTGTATTACTTGCTGAAGTCCAAGTCTCGATGGACATAACTCCTACGTGTGTCAAAGCTTCAACTGTCCCTGACACTTATTAAGGGTTGTCATGGAAACTGCATATGGAATCCATGTCTCCCAGAATATCCCCTCCAGTCAGTGATGCCCTCGTCCCTGTAAGGTGAGCTAACATCCTTTAGGCAGAGACTTCAAAGTACAAAATGAGAGGTCGATGATAATATTTTGGTAGAGTTATTCAACCTTGCCAATACTTGAAATTAGCTCACGATACTGTCTCCATGGCAACTGGTACTGTTTCACTGTACACACACTTATTATTTATAAAACATAAAACAACACACACTGTGACGTGGTAGTCACTAGTCCATCAAGTCCAGAGTCAGAACCACAACTGTCTGAAACTTCCGTCTCTATAGACCATGGCAATGGATATTGTCTCCACAAACCATGGCAACAGATACTGTCTCCACAAACCATGGCAACAGATAATGTCTCCACAAACCATGGCAACAGATAGTGTCTCCACAAACCATGGCAACAGATAATGTCTCCACAAACCATGGCAACAGATACTGTCCCTACAAATCATTGCAAGTCCCAGCTGAGAACTAATATCGTCTTCTGGTGCTGTGGGGTCGCTGGTATGGCTGCATGCGGTCGTAGTCTCGATGCTGACGGCCATCTTGTCTATTAACGGCCAGGCTGAGATTCTGCTGTTGGAGTATGCGCTGTCTGCGCACATCGATGCTGTCAAGGTTGTCGTTGTGATACTGGGGGCTCCCACCCTGGTACACTTGTGGGGACTCTGGGCGGTACTGTGGCGAGTGACGGGAATGTCGATCACCATGCTCATCTTGATTCTTATCCGCGCTGCCGTGCCATGTGTGGGATCGCTGGTACCGAGACGGAGGCTCATTCGGCCTTGACCCGTGTTCCCGATCCCGTGGACTACGGAACGGTTCATGCTGTTCCGTGTTTGGTCCAGAAGAAGAACGGTGGTAGTTGGACCGACCGCCATGTTGGTGTGCGGTGTCGCGGGGGTAGGCGTCCCGCTGCTCTGGGGCGTACTGGGGACTGCTGTAGGGGCAGGGGCTGTTGTGGGGGGAGGAGCTGCTGGGGAGGGATGACGACCCTGACCTTGTCTGTAGACGCAGGTACTGGCCAAACAGTCGGATGCCCTCGTACAGCTGCATGGTGTACGCCACGGATTCCTCGTGCCGGAAGTTGATGAAGGCAAACTTCTTGTTGCGTCCATCCTTGTCCTTTGGGATGGTGACACGGTCCAAGGGGCCAGCCTGAAACACACCATGTGTAGTGTGAACTCAGAAACAAACAAGCCTGTAACATGATGTATAGAACCGGTACACAGAACACCCATCAATGATCATAATGGGGTGCTTGATCGTAAAGGGGTGCTTGATCGTAAAGGGGTGCTTGATCATAATGGGTTGCTTGATCATAAAGGGGTGCTTGATCATAAAGGGGTCCTTGATCATAAAGGGTGCTTGATCATAATGGGTGCTTGATCATAAAGGGGTGCTTGATTGTAAAGGGATGCTTGATCACAAAGGGGTCCTTGATCGTAAAGGGGTGTTTGATCATAAAGGTGTGTTTGATCGTAAAGGGGTGGTTGATCGTAAAGGGGTGCTTGATCGTAAAGGGGTGGTTGATCGTAAAGGGGTGCTTGATCGTAAAGGGGTGCTTGATCATAAAGGGGTGCTTGATCATAAAGGGATGCTTGATCATAAAGGGGTGCTTGATCATAAAGGGGTGCTTGATCGTAAAGGGGTGCTTGATCATAAAGGGGTGCTTGATCATAAAGGGATGCTTGATCATAAAGGGGTGCTTGATCATAAAGGGGTGCTTGATCATAAAGGGGTGCTTGATCATAAAGGGATGCTTGATCATAAAGGGGTGCTTGATCATAAAGGGGTGCTTGATCATAAAGCCGTACCTCAATCCAATGATGGTAAAGGGCTTCATCGGAAGGGGGCCCAAAGGCTAAGCATAAAGTTGGGGCAAACCCACCCTATTAACTCCTGATACAACTACCCCCAAGGCACGAGACATGTGAAGCCGGCAGTCTGAGCGCTATATTAACTAACTTTGAGATTTAACATGCGCTTTCCGCGTGTAATAGCGCTATATTAGCTGCTCCTGGTTTAAAAGATTGATGGCCAAGGGCGACTACTCTAAGCCTAAATAGCATCCATCTGTTTATCACAACTTCATATCACAGACTGTGCCAAAAAATCACAATCCGGAAAACCCCAACTTCCATCAGACAGTGTATTCTGAGAGAAGACAATATTTTCTGAGGAAGATATAGCATAAACATAGGGCATGCACACTTATGTACATTATACTTAAATTACCTGAAGAAAAAGTTCATATAACAATTCTTCCGTGACTTTATCGCCCAAACCACCGACCCACAACACACAATTGTCCGCCATGATTATTCTCAAGCTCCTCACAACAATGGCCAGTTCACAGAGCTCTCTATGCTACCGCGATAAAGAAGGTGTCACGCGCTGGGTAGGAGCTTGGATTTATAGACTGGGTTTCTGTCTACCGAAACTGGTAGACACATGCTCCTCGCAGCGAAAGCGCGTTCGCGGAGCTCCCACTGTGAAAGGTGGCTACACTAACACGGAGTTCAACTCACATCCGACGGAGCGTTATGTTTTCAAACAAGTGATGACTGTCGTGACACCGATTCCTCTTACCCCAACTAAATTATTTTCTTTGTTTGTCAATTTGAATTTCTATTTCACCCAGAGACCATATAATAGATCTTTTATATATGGTCTCTGTTTCAACTATCATGTTTTTGTTTGTTTAATTTGTTTGTTGTTGAACGCCGCACTCAGCAATATTCCAGCTATATGACGGTGGTCTGTATAAATAATCGAGTCTGGACCAGACAATCCAGTGATTGACATCATGAGCATCGATCCACTCAATTGAGTATACGATCGACATGCATCAACCAAGTCAGCGAGCCTGACCACTCGATCCCGTTTGTCGCCTCTTCAAGCATATGCCTTCTACGGCAAGCATGGGTTGGTGAAGACCTATATATTCTACCCCGGATCGTCACGGGTCCAACTATCATGTAATTGGTACAGTAAAAATGTAAGGGGGGAGTTGGATGATTTTCCGTTCGTCTGCTATCTCGAAACATACGAAAAGTTAAATTCATCTGGGAAATATGGTCAGTTTTAACCTTTTCAAAATTCGCTATGATGGCATTCCCAAAGACATAACAAATAGTTTAAAAGTTACTACATTCGGGGTTAGAGGGCAAATTTCAGGATTCTTGTAATGACCGCTCCGACACTGACGGCAGCGATGTCAACGAGAGTGTAACAAACAAGCGCTGGGCTTGCGTCGCTTACCAACAGTGGAACCAGTTTACTTGGATAATTCTTAGCAAAGGGAGGCAATCCGTGCAGTTCTATCTATACTTCGTACCGCTAATTTATTTATATGTTTTTTAAAGGGGAATTTATGAGGACAACGATGCTTTGATTATGATTGACAGATGATATGATGATAATAAGAACTATTGCATTAAAATATATTATGTGGGTGCTCGGGAAACTCACTCTTTACTTTTAGCCAATGAGCAAGGGAACCGGTCGTCTGCCCGGTTACGTTGCGGCCATCTTGTTTATTTTTCCGCGAGATTTGAGAGTTGTGTGTGTGATGATTTCTGGATTTGTTGAGTTAGCGATTTTCGGGAACAGAGAGCAGGCCTGAGCTCTGACATCATGCCGGAAATTAAAATCCAACATGTCGTATCTTCCAGTTCTGAAGACAAGGTAGACAAATTGTTTGCAATTGTTTTGTTGTAAGCTAGCCTAGGCCTAAACACGAACACGAAGTTTTTGTCTGTTTGTCTGACTTTGAGTCTGAGGAGTAAAACACAAGATTTGCTAAAACTAACCCAAACTAACAAAATAAAAGTCATTTAACAATCTTATGTGTAACTGAAAGGCAGATGATGGTAACATGCCATAGGTAATTAAGTGATTGTGGTCGATCACATCGTAGGGCCTAGTGGAAAGTTGTGAAGTGGTGGGCTGACGTCTGCTGCACAACTTGATCGAGTTGCACCCGACTCGCCTAAAAAAATCTGACCCGACTCACCTAAAAAATATATATAATATTTTGGTATGCGTTTGGCAAATATAACTTAGGTTAGCCCTAATGATCACAATTACTTGTATATTCATACACAAGTATGGAAATAATATTAAAAACAACAACGTATCATCCATAGAATTTGTCTTCTGTCATATTTACATCCTAAAAACATACATAAAAGATCACTTAAGTCTTTACATACCTAATGGGTTCGTTATATCCATCAAATAATAAATCCATAATTCATATCCTGAAGATAACACAACATACGTTGCAGTTGCACCACCACATGTTCACTAAACTGGCATTTGTATTTTTCCCCGGAGTTTCGAAGAATTCTCGCCTTTGATTGGTCAACCCAGATATGATGATAAAGTGACAACTATTTGTTATCATAGTACAGTAATCCCGTGCTGAACTGTTAAGTTTATTTATTTTTTATCGCCCTAACTAATCAATCAGTGATGTGATGTCACCGAGAGTGACACCGATTGTATCAAAACAACGCCATGACATCGTTCACTCAATCCAGTCGGTTACGCTATTCGGACCAAGACTACAACACTAACATTTAGGTACATTATGTGTATAAAATGCATTACTATGTATTTCTGATAGTTACATACTTATTCTAAAATACAAAAACCAACTGTAGTTCGCTCAAACTTTTTTTAGGCGAGTCGGGTCAAAATCTTTTTAGGCGAGTTGGGTGTATCCCACTTGATCAGACGTGCCAGTAGTGAGTGAATTAGTATGGTTTTATGCCGCTTTTAACGATATTCAACAATATCATAGCGGGGAACACCAGAAATTGACTTCACACAATTGTACCCATGTTGAACCGGGTGCAGGCTAAAACGTTACCGATTTTCTCTGGCGAAAATGGCAACTATGTGATGGATGAAAACGGCACCTCTATTTTTAATAACGATTAGAATGATTTATGTAGTAGTATATCTGACTTGTGTTATTTGTTACATATTATTTGATGTATTTACATGTTATTTCCTGATTTCCAGTTGTTCACAGATAACTACATACAATCACATATACAGTTCTTCACAGTTTTCATCTTCATCACAGTTTACAATATCGTGATAGTAGCTGACTCAGTTTTAGCCCGGCAATAACCGTTTTCGCTTGAGGCTAGGTTACGTTTTCGCCCATCGGTGCTGTTTTGCTGAGGTGACGTTTTTGCTATAACCCGTTGAACCAGGCTCTTCAGCGTGATGAGCAAACACTTCAACCACCAGGCAGGGGCGGTCGGGTAGCCTAGTGGTTAAAGCGTTCGCTCGTCACGCCGAAGACCCGGGTTCGATTCCCGACATGGGTACAATGTGTGAAGCCCATTTCTGGTGTCTCCTGCCGTGATATTGCTGGAATATTGCTAAAAGCGGCGTAAAACCATACTCACTCACTCACTCACTCAACCACCAGGCTACCCCACCGCCCCTCTTCTGACTCTTATGTGTTTGAATAAAGATAAAACATCAGTCAACTTCAGTGTATTCATGTATGGGTCGTCATTTGGTAAAAAGAAATAATTTGGAAATAAAGAACAAAAGTATGCAATAATAGTCAAATGTTACGAATAACGTATTAAACGTTCCTGTGTAACTTTTGACCGAATGGCCGCCCATATGCATCACCAGATCATTTTTTGTATGTGTATCTAAATAGAATATATGCCAGGGCTTCGGTCAAACTATTCCCAATCGGACATTTTGTGCCTTCCTCTGCAAGTTTTGTTGTTATTATTATTAGTTACATGGTCCTATGAGTTAATGTTCCAATGAATTGGAAATTGCCCCAATGAATTCGACCTCCAGTGGGATGGGTTGGCTTCAGTGTTCCCATCCTATTCCGAGCTGTAACTTGAAAACCGTTCAATATGTTTCAATGGAACTTGGTATGTGTGTTGCTCATCAGCTTAACTGATGCCTTTTGGTATTTTAATATTTTTCAAAATTGTAAATTTTTATATTTCCATGGAGACAATTTCAACTTAGTCTCCCATAAAGAGTCAACATGACATCAACTGTCATGCTGCTTCATTGATGCAGTAATCAGAATCTGTACTGGTATGTTTTGCTTTTATTCTATTTTGTAATTTCAAAAACATCATAGTAACCATGGTAACAACTTGAACTAATGTATCAGAAAAAGGGAGGAGGGACACAAATGCTTTCATGAGTAAAAACACATTCTAGTTTGGTTATTGATATTGTTTAGAGATTAGTTGTCAGCCATCTGAAATGTTGGGCAATGTTCTTCATAAATGACCTGTGTTAAGTAAGATTTTTAAAAACATTTTTAACATGTTAAAAATTGTTTTGACGCTACGTACTACGGACTATGAGCTGCAAACTATGAGCTTCACAATCCACATGGAGTGTTGGTGCCTGCAGTTGGCTGTGACTATCCACTAGTCCTAAGTCCGAGGCTACTAAAAGTCGGTTTGGTCTAGTAAACTCAGCAAATAATAGTCCATGATAACACTGAACTATACTGAACTATACTGAACAACAGGGTGCAGTGGGCCCTCCCCATGCTCACTGACCCACTATCTCACTGACCCACTATCTCACTGACCCACTATCTCACTGACCCACTATCTCACTGGAAACTGTGGACACTGACCCACTATCTCACTGGAAACTGTGGACGCTGACCCACTATCTCACTGGAAACTGTGGACGCTGACCCACTATCTCACTGGAAACTGTGGACGCTGACCCACTATCTCACTGGAAACTGTGGATTATGTTCAGCAAATAAAGAAACGTTCAGTGGACACACTGTTCCCCGAGTTTTGCCATGTTGTATTCACTGTGTCAGATCCATCTGCAGCCATGGAAACCATCTCGAGATACATCTCATGTAGTGAAAGCTTTGAGTGCTTTCACGACTTGTAATACAGACACAAGCAGACCGTGGTGGCACAATACTGACCCATGCTTGCCGAAAAGGTAACTGCTTGTCGTAAGAGGCAACTATTGGGATCGGGTGGTCAGACTTGCTGACTTGGTTGATGCATGTCATCGTATCCCAATTGCGTGGATTGATGCTCATGATGTCAATCACTGGATTGTCTGGTCCAGACTCAATTATTTATACAGACCACCATCATATAGCTGGAATATTGCTGAGTGCAGCGTTAAACAACAAACATACAAAACTAAATCAATACTGACCTGTTGTCCTCGCTGGTCTCATGTGTACCCTTGTTTCCCCCAAAGAACCACCCCGCTGAGAACCTGCTGAAACCAGAGGGGACGTTCAAGTGGAAGTGTGCCGGCCCGGGGGCGAAGTCCGCTGTGGTGGTGTTGCAGGTATACCCAGTCTGTACCCCTGTATCTATATACCAATTTTTACATGTCTGTACCCCTGTATCTATATCCCCAGTATCTATATACCCTGTCTGTACCCCTGTATCTATATACCGTCTGTACCTGTCTGTACCCCTGTATCTATATACCATGTCTGTACCCCTGTATCTATATGCCCTGTATCTATATACCCTGTCTGTACCCCTGTATCTATATACCCTGTATCTATATACCATGTCTGTACCCCTGTATCTATATGCCCTGTATCTATATACCCTGTCTGTACCCCTGTATCTATATACCCTGTATCTATATGCCCTGTATGTATATACCCTGTCTGTACCCCTGTGTCTATATGCCCTGTATCTATATGCCCTGTATCTATATACCCTGTCTGTACCCCTGTATCTATATACCGTCTGTACCCCTGTATCTATATACCCTGTCTATACCCCTGTATCTATATACCCTGTCTCTACCCCTGTATCTATATACCCTGTCTGTACCCCTGTATCTATATACCCTGTCTGTACCCCTGTATCTATATGCCCTGTCTGTACCCCTGTATCTATATACCCTGTCTGTACCCCTGTATCTACATACCCTGTCTGTACCCCTGTATCTATATACCCTGTCTGTACCCCTGTATCTATATACCGTCTGTACCCCTGTATCTATATACCCTGTCTGTACCCCTGTATCTATATACCGTCTGTACCCCTGTATCTATATACCCTGTCTATACCCCTGTATCTATATGCCCTGTATCTATATACCCTGTCTGTACCCCTGTATCTATATACCCTGTATCTATATGCCCTGTATGTATATACCCTGTCTGTACCCCTGTATCTATATGCCCTGTATCTATAAACCCTGTCTGTACCCCTGTATCTATATACCCTGTCTGTACCCCTGTATCTATATACCCTGTCTGTACCCCTGTATCTACATACCATGTCTGTACCCCTGTATCTATATACCCTGTTTGTACCCCTGTATCTATATATCCTGTCTGTACCCCTGTATCTATATACCCTGTCTGTACCCCTGTATCTATATACCCTGTCTGTACCCCTGTATCTATATACCGTCGGTACCCCTGTATCCATATACCATGTCTGTACCCCTGTATCTATATACCCTGTCTGTACCCCTGTATCTATATACCCTGTCTGTACCCCTGTATCTATATACCCTGTCTGTACCCCTATATCTATATGCCCCGTATCTATATACCCTGTCTGTACCCCTGTATCTATGTACCCTGTCTGTACCCCTGTATCTATATACCCCGTATCTATATACCCTGTCTGTACCCCTGTATCTATATACCCTGTCTGTACCCCTGTATGTATATACCCTGTCTGTACCCCTGTATCTATATACCCTGTCTGTACCCCTGTATCTATATGCCCTGTATCTATATGCCCTGTATCTATATACCCTGGCTGTACCCCTGTATCTATATACCCTGTCTGTACCCCTGTATCTATATACCCTGTCTGTACCCCTGTATCTATATACCCTGTATCTATATACGCTGTATATATGTCCTGTATCTATATACCCTGTCTGTACCCCTGTATCTATATACCCTGTCTGTACCCCTATATCTATATACCCTGTATCTATATGCCCTGTATCTATATACCTTGTCTGTACCCCTATATCTATATACCCTGTATCTATATACCCTGTATCTATATACCTTGTCTGTACCCCTATATCTATATACCCTGTATCTATATGCCCTGTATCTATATACCCTGTATCTATATACCCTGTCTGTACCCCTCTATCTCTATACCCTGTCTGTACCCCTATATCTATATGCCCTGTATCTATATACCCTGTCTGTACCCCTGTATCTATATACCCTGTATCTATATACCCTGTCTGTACCCCTGTATCTATATACCCAGTCTGTACCCCTGTATCTATATACCCTGTCTGTACCCCTGTATCTATATACCCTGTCTGTACCCCTGTATCTATATATCCTGTCTGTACCCCTGTATCTATATATCCTGTCTGTACCCCTGTATCTATATATCCTGTCTGTACCCCTGTATCTTTATATCCTGTCTGTACCCCTGTATCTATATACCCTGTATCTATATACCCTGTCTGTACCCCTGTATCTATATACCCTGTATCTATATACCCTGTCTGTACCCCTGTATCTATATACCCTGTCCTACCCCTGTATCTATATACCCTGTTTGTACCCCTGGATCTATATACCCTGTCTGTACCCCTGTATCTATATACCCTGTCTGTACCCCTGTATCTATATGCCCTGTATCTATATACCCTGTCTGTACCCCTGTATCTATATACCCTGTCTGTACCCCTGTATCTATATATCCTGTCTGTACCCCTGTATCTATATACCCTGTCTGTACCCCTGTATCTATATACCCTGTCTGTACCCCTGTATCTATATACCCTGTATGTATATACCCTGTCTGTACCCCTGTATCTATATACCCTGTCTGTACCCCTATATCTATATACCCTGTATCTATATACCCTGTCTGTACCCCTGTATCTATATACCCTGTCTGTACCCCTATATCTATATACCCTGTATCTATATATCCTGTCTGTACCCCTGTATCTATATACCCTGTCTGTACCCCTGTATCTATATACCCTGTCTGTACCCCTGTATCTATATACCCTGTCTGTACCCCTGTATCTATATGCCTACCCCCCTGAATCTCTGTCCTCTCTTCATCAGTTGGACCGAGCATCCCAGATCAGCAGCATCGACATCGGCAACGAGGGCTCGGGCTTTGTGGAGGTGTTGGTGGGGAAGTCCACTGCTGCAGCTGACACCGACTATCAGGTGTGTATCCTTTGTATTCCTTACTTATCTTGCATTCTTACTTAATGCATTCCTGCTTACCTACGATAACTAGAAGGACAGCGCAACAGCAATGTCATGGGTGAAGAAATAAAGTTGTTGTTCTGAAGTCCCTTTTACTGACCCTTGCCACTGACCTGTGACCTTGATGACATCTAAGGTCACCTTCACATGACTGCTGGTTGCTCTCCAGCAAGGACGTGTCCCAGCGGAGCTCTCCTTTTGGATTAATTTAGACCTTCAGTTTTCGTCTACAATCCTAAAATTGATCTGTAATGGCTGATGTATTCTTTTCGTATTACTTTCACCGTGCTGTTTTATGTGTATTAATTAGGCATATAAAGAATGTCTTTGTTGACTGCCACTTATTTGTTGCTTGCCGCCATTTTGAATTGTGTTACATTTGTTTGCCTGCCAAGGTAGTCAAATTGTTTACAATTCTCATCTACGTATGTACAACATATTTTTGTGTTCTTAAATACTACTAGCTTTGGCATAACAGTGAGTTGCGTGTATATCAATTATTGTATACACTTTCAACTTGTTACAAATATGTTTGCCGATATCAATTTCTTCCAGTACTGTCTCATCAACAATGGTTTAATTGCATAACTTATGCTTGACCATTGTACTAATTGTCGTGGAAAAAATCTTACAAGATTATCATCCACGTTGGTTGGCTTGCAGGCAGATGTGCTCGCCAGACTCTCAATGTAAATAGCCATGGTTTACGTTGAGTTGCGTATATAAAAATATTGTATGCACTTTCAAATTGTAATTTTGCTGATAGATTATTCTTCAATTCTACGGCATTCTTCAAGTACCATTTCATCAACAATGGTTTAATTGCATAACTTATGCTTGCGGGTTGTACATATTGTTGTGGGAAAAATCGCCCAAAGATCTTTATCCACGTTTCTCGGCAACACGTAGATGTGCTCGCCAATTTCTAAATGTAATTTTTGTGTAAATCTCTCTCCGACGAGTTTTACAATATAAAGGCAGGTTACTCACAATCATATTTTGCAGGAATCTCGTCGTGAGACGAAAGGAATGTCACAATCGCTGAACAGCGAAGGGGATGGTTTGGTCATTACCACCCAACCGTTATCATCAGCGGGTAAAATGATGCACGTAGCTGTGACTGCACCCTCCTACGAAATCAACAATACCGGAGGATTTTGTGATATCATAACTGCTCCTAAATTTCAGCCCCTCACACAACCAGATCTACTAAATCTGCAACGCTGGCGCCAGCACCAGCATCTCAAGACGCTTTGATGGGGGTAGCTCAGTCAATACCAATGGGCTTTGTGTCTCCGATACCTGCGCCGAGCGCAGCGCCTGACTACTGCCCTCCCCCGGTAACGGGGTAAATAAGAGGGACACCACGAGGTCATTGGAGGAAGACTTTTCCAAACTCACATTTGCTCTGTCATTTAAGCCACCAACATTGTCAATGCTTGCAGTAGATCAGGATCTATCAGAGGATAACCCTATCTGATTAGATCACTTCCAAACTATGGTGATTATCCTTCAGCGTCAGATTTACCACAGGAAAATTCATCTTGAGGCTGAGTTTTTCCAACTGGGATTTCAAGGGCAGGCTGCTACATCAACCTTGGTCATCTACTCCCTGGTTAAATGAACAGATCGCAGACACGCAGGCCAAGTTCCCCAAACGCTTGGAATGACACTGTGCTCAAGACTCTATAGCACGTCTCTTTCAGTCTATCCCAGCGGGCTGGCAGGTCAGGCAATTGTAAGCCTGGACGGGCATTTCTCAAGGAAGACCAGTATTCTGTTACTGGGAAAGGGCATGGGAGAGGCAAGTCTCAAGGAAGACCAGTATTCCGTTACTGGGAAAGGGCATGGGAGAGGCAAGTCTCAAGGAAGACCAGTATTCCGTTACTGGGAAAGGGCATGGGAGAGGCAAGTCTCAAGGAAGACCAGTATTCTGTTACTGGGAAAGGGCATGGGAGAGGCAAGTCTCAAGGAAGACCAGTATTCTGTTACTGGGAAAGGGCATGGGAGAGGCAAGTCTCAAGGAAGACCAGTATTCTGTTACTGGGAAAGGGCATGGGAGAGGCAAGCCTCAAGGAGGATTGCGTACTCATTGTGCTACTTCATGGTTTCCGTATAAACGTAGAAGAACAGGACCACAGTTTGAGTTGCCCAACTCGCAATATCTACAGACTACAACACTGCGGTGTGGTGCCTGCGCAATCAGGGAACAACGCACTACCACTCTCTACTTCAACAGACATTCAGATTTTTCCATCTAGTGGATCGGCTGCAACTACAGTTTATAGTTCAGCACATCCCCGGCGGCACGGGTGAGGGAACTACAGGCGATCGCTCCACTCGGATCTGCTTTGAGCACAGGACGCACGGATCGGTACATCTCGGATTATGCTGGGATTTTATTGCAAAATTCAACTACCAGGCCAACCGATCGATCGACTATTGTGGGAGCCATACACGAAGTTGAATTTCTCCTGGGCTTGGTGCGAGCAGTTCGAGTTTTCATTCGCCGCTCCAAGTGTACTATGTCCAAGACCGAAGTTAGTCGCAAACACCATATCACTATGGTTACTCGCCAAAATGGAATCCGCCGAGAGCGAACTACCCTCACAATCTCAGGGTGTTAGCCTTTAACATTGCCCTACACTACAATTGTTCTTTTAGAACAGTCATGGAAGGATATTTGTGGAGGTTCGACTCAGGTTTTGCTAGTCGTTGTGGCTCACGAGGACGTCAAAAGCATGCAAAGTTTTGTCCCTCTGGTTGTTACCCAGCAGGTAACCAACCCCCGACGCAAATAGTGAACTCGCCCTATACAGAGCCAGCCTACTTCCATGGGCAGTCACTCAGTCGCCGCCAGTGGAAGAATATTTGACAATCTTGTTTGTCAACGACGGCTCTATGACAGAGTAAGTAAAGAATTAGCTGATCAGCTGTTATTTTCTTCATTACTAAGTGTGTATAGGTAATTTCTCTTTAATTCCTATGTTCAATCGATTTGATATTTGAACAATCCTACCCTTATGGCGTTTTGCTGAACTTTTCCTCTTCACGGTTTATCGACCAACTGGTGTCGTATTTCAGGGTGTGAATTATTGAGGTTTCTGTTAGTTTCTACCGCTGTTTATCACCCTGTACACAGACGATGTAGTATATCCCTTATCACCCTGTACACAGACGATGTAGTATATCCCTTATCACCCTGTACACAGACGATGTAGTATATCCTTGATCACCTTGTACACAGACGATGTAGTATATCCTTGATCACCCTGTACACAGACTATGTAGTATATCCTTGATCACCTTGTACACAGACTATGTAGTATATCCTTGATCGCCCTGTACACAGACGATGTAGTATATCCTTGATCACCCTGTACACAGACGATGTAGTATATCCTTGATCACCCTGTACACAGACTATGTAGTATATCCCTTATCACCCTGTACACAGACGATGTAGTATATCCCTTATCACCCTGTACACAGACGATGTAGTATATCCCTTATCACCCTATACACAGACGATGTAGTATATCCCTTATCACCCTGTACACAGACGATGTAGTATATCCCTTATCACCCTGTACACAGACTATGTAGTATATCCCTTATCACCCTGTACACAGACGATGTAGTATATCCCTTATCACCCTATACACAGACGATGTAGTATATCCCTTATCACCCTGTACACAGACGATGTAGTATATCCCTTATCACCCTGTACACAGACAATGTAGTATATCCCTTATCACCCTGTACACAGACGATGTAGTATATCCCTTATCACCCTGTACACAGACGATGTAGTATATCCCTTATCACCCTGTACACAGACGATGTAGTATATCCCTTTTCACCCTATACACAGACGATGTAGTATATCCTTGATCACCCTGTACACAGACTATGTAGTATATCCTTGATCACCCTGTACACAGACTATGTAGTATATCCTTGATCGCCCTGTACACAGACGATGTAGTATATCCTTGATCACCCTGTACACAGACGATGTAGTATATCCTTGATCACCCTGTACACAGACTATGTAGTATATCCCTTATCACCCTGTACACAGACGATGTAGTATATCCCTTATCACCCTGTACACAGACGATGTAGTATATCCCTTATCACCCTATACACAGACGATGTAGTATATCCCTTATCACCCTGTACACAGACGATGTAGTATATCCCTTATCACCCTGTACACAGACGATGTAGTATATCCCTTATCACCCTGTACACAGACGATGTAGTATATCCCTTATCACCCTGTACACAGACTATGTAGTATATCCCTTATCACCCTGTACACAGACGATGTAGTATATCCCTTATCACCCTGTACACAGACGATGTAGTATATCCCTTATCACCCTGTACACAGACGATGTAGTATATCCCTTATCACCCTGTACACAGACTATGTAGTATATCCCTTATCACCCTGTACACAGACGATGTAGTATATCCTTGATCACCCTGTACACAGACGATGTAGTATATCCCTTTTCACCCTATACACAGACGATGTAGTATATCCCTTATCACCCTGTACACAGACGATGTAGTATATCCCTTATCACCCTATACACAGACGATGTAGTATATCCCTTATCACCCTGTACACAGACGATGTAGTATATCCCTTATCACCCTGTACACAGACTATGTAGTATATCCCTTATCACCCTGTACACAGACGATGTAGTATATCCTTGATCACCCTGTACACAGACGATGTAGTATATCCCTTTTCACCCTATACACAGACGATGTAGTATATCCTTGATCACCCTGTACACAGACTATGTAGTATATCCTTGATCACCCTGTACACAGACTATGTAGTATATCCTTGATCACCCTGTACACAGACTATGTAGTATATCCTTGATCACCCTGTACACAGACGATGTAGTATATCCCTTTTCACCCTATACACAGACGATGTAGTATATCCTTGATCACCCTGTACACAGACGATGTAGTATATCCTTGATCACCCTATACACAGACGATGTAGTATATCCTTGATCACCCTGTACACAGACTATGTAGTATATCCTTGATGACCCTGTACACAGACTTCCAAGTGGTTTTGTTTGATTGTTTGTTGTTTAATGCAGCGCTCAGCAATATTCCAGCTATATCAAGGCGGTCTGTAAATAATCGAGTCTGGACCAGACAATTCAGTGACTCACATGATGAGCATCAATCTACACAGTTGGGATACGATGAAATACATCAACAGTCAGCGAGCCTGACCACACTATCCAGGCAGTCATCTCTGACGATGTGCATTGGTTGCTGAGAGCAATTCTACCCCGGATCTTCACAAGTCACTTCAAGGTGGTATATCTATCTAATGTTTGCAGGTGATCCTGGTGGCATCGTCATTCATGACCCCCTTGGAGAGCCGCAATGGCACGAACAGGAACAGCGTCCGTATGTTCGGACTGGACACACTCTCCAGGGCAGTCACAGACAAGAAGTGGGATCGAGTGAAGATAGTGTGTACTCAGCCCTTCTGTAAGGTAAGATGTTATCAGGGTTACCCCCTCTAGTGTGTACACAGCCCTTCTGTAAGGTAGGATGTTATCAGGGTTATCCCCTCTAGTGTGTACACAGCCCTTCTGTAAGGTAGGATGTTATCAGGGTTACCCCCTCTAGTGTGTACACAGCCCTTCTGTAAGGTAAGATGTTATCAGGGTTATCCCCTCTAGTGTGTACTCAGCCCTTCTGTAAGGTGGGATGTTGTCAGGGTTACCCCCTCTAGTGTGTACTCAGCCCTTCTGTAAGGTAAGATGTTGTCAGGGTTATCCCCTCTAGTGTGTACTCAGCCCTTCTGTAAGGTAAGATGTTGTCAGGGTTACCCCCTCTAGTGTGTACTCAGCCCTTCTGTAAGGTAAGATGTTGTCAGGGTTACCCCCTCTAGTGTGTACTCAGCCCTTCTGTAAGGTAGGATGTTGTCAGGGTTACCCCCTCTACTGTGTACTCAGCCCTTCTGTTACGTATGATGTTGTCAGGGTTATCCCCTCTACTGTGTACTCAGCCCTTCTGTTACGTATGATGTTATCAGGGTTATCCCCTCTACTGTGTACTCAGCCCTTCTGTTACGAATGATGTTGTCAGGGTTATCCCCTCTACTGTGTACTCAGCCCTTCTGTAAGGTAGGATGTTGTCAGGGTTATCCCCTCTAGTGTGTACTCAGCCCTTCTGTTACGTATGATGTTATCAGGGTTATCCCCTCTAGTGTGTACTCAGCCCTTCTGTAAGGTAGAATGTTGTCAGGGTTATCCCCTCTAGTGTGTACTCAGCCCTTCTGTTACGTATGATGTTATCAGGGTTATCCCCTCTAGTGTGTACTCAGCCCTTCTGTAAGGTAGGATGTTGTCAGGGTTACCCCCTCTACTGTGTACTCAGCCCTTCTGTAAGGTAGGATGTTGTCAGGGTTATCCCCTCTAGTGTGTACTCAGCCCTTCTGTAAGGTAGAATGTTGTCAGGGTTATCCCCTCTAGTGTGTACTCAGCCCTTCTGTAAGGTAGAATGTTGTCAGGGTTATCCCCTCTACTGTGTACTCAGCCCTTCTGTAAGGTAGAATGTTGTCAGGGTTATCCCCTCTAGTGTGTACTCAGCCCTTCTGTAAGGTAAGATGTTGTCAGGGTTACCCCCCTCTACTGTGTACTCAGCCCTTCTGTAAGGTAGGATGTTGTCAGGGTTATCCCCTCTAGTGTGTACTCAGCCCTTCTGTAAGGTAGGATGTTGTCAGGGTTACCCCCCTCTACTGTGTACTCAGCCCTTCTGTAAGGTAAGATGTTGTCAGGGTTATCCCCTCTAGTGTGTACTCAGCCCTTCTGTAAGGTAGAATGTTGTCAGGGTTATCCCCTCTAGTGTGTACTCAGCCCTTCTGTAAGGTAGAATGTTGTCAGGGTTATCCCCTCTAGTGTGTACTCAGCCCTTCTGTTACGTATGATGTTGTCAGGGTTATCCCCCTCTACTGTGTACTCAGCCTTTCTGTTACGTATGATGTTATCAGGGTTACCCCCTCTAGTGTGTACTCAGCCCTTCTGTAAGGTAGGATGTTGTCAGGGTTACCCCCTCTAGTGTGTACTCAGCCCTTCTGTTACGTATGATGTTATCAGGGTTATCCCCTCTAGTGTGTACTCAGCCCTTCTGTTACGTATGATGTTATCAGGGTTATCCTCTCTAGTGTGTACTCAGCCCTTCTGTTACGTATGATGTTGTCAGGGTTATCCCCCTCTACTGTGTACTCAGCCCTTCTGTAAGGTAGGATGTTGTCAGGGTTACCCCCTCTACTGTGTACTCAGCCCTTCTGTAAGGTAGAATGTTGTCAGGGTTATCCCCTCTAGTGTGTACACAGCCCTTCTGTAAGGTAAGATGTTGTCAGGGTTACCCCCTCTAGTGTGTAATCAGCCCTTCTGTAAGGTAGGATGTTATCAGGGTTATCCCCTCTAGTGTGTACACAGCCCTTCTGTAAGGTAGGATGTTATCAGGGTTACCCACCTCTACTGTGTACTCAGCCCTTCTGTAAGGTAAGATGTGAGTGTAGTGTGTACTGTGATCCCAACTTTATCTTCAGACTTCATCCTATGGATTGTCCTTCATCAAGCTCCATGCTCCAGCCGAAGGGAAGGAAGCAGAGGTTTGTACAACTTTGTTTATTCCACTCTAGTATGCTTGTGTTTATTCCACTCTAGTATGCTTGTGTTTATTCCTCTCTAGTATGCTTGTGTTTATTCAACTCTGGTATACTTGTGTTTATTCCACTCTGGTATACTTGTGTTTATTCCACTCTAGTATGCTTGTGTTTTTTCCACTCTGGTATACTTGTGTTTATTCCACTCCAGTATTCTTATGTTTATTCCACTCCAGTGTACTTATGTTTATTCCACTCCAGTGTACTGATGTTTATTCCACTCCAGTATACTTATGTTTATTCCACTCCAGTATATTTATGTTTACTCCACTCCAGTGTTCTAATGTTTATTCCACGCCAGTGTACCAATGTTTATTCCACGCCAGTGTACTTATGTTTATTCCACTCCAGTGTACTTATGTTTATTTCACTCCAGTATACTTGTGTTTATTCCACTCCAGTGTACTTATGTTTATTCCACTCCAGTGTACTTGTGTTTATTCCACTCCAGTATACTTATGTTTACTCCACTCCAGTATACTTATGTTTACTCCACTCCAGTGTTCTAATGTTTATTCCACGCCAGTGTACTTATGTTTATTCCACTCCAGTATACTTATGTTTATTCCCCTCCAGTGTACTTATGTTTATTCCACTCCAGTATACTTGTGTTTATTCCACTCCAGTGTACTTATGTTTATTCCTCTCCAGTATACTTATGTCAAAGTGTGCCTTTTGCTACTTTTGGGTGATTACAATTGATAGTTTTTCCATTTCCATGGCAACATGTTTGACTTTGACTCTGTTCATAGTGGTGTGGACTTGACATAGAAATACAAAGTTCCGAATCCCATTTTGATGGTATTGTTTTTGTAGCTCAATAACTACTCTTGTATCCGGACAGACAGAGTAGATATACATTCTAATTAGTAATCTGTAATTCTGACCCTGTTATCTCAGAAGACTCCCACACAGAAGACACTTGGTGCCTTCAAACTGAAGACAGCCGAGGGCGGTGACATGAAAGTGGGGGCGCTGTTTGCCAAGAGGAATGAAACAGTGGAACAACCTCACCTTAAAGGTTGGCCATATGGGATACGTAGTGGATACCTGGTAGATATGTAGTGAATACCTGGTAGATATGTAGTGAATACCTGGTAGATATGTAGTGGATACCTGGTAGATATGTAGTGAATACCTGATAGATATGTATAATGTAGTGAATACCTGGTAGAAATGTAGTGAATACCTGGTAGATATGTAGTGAATACCTGGTAGATATGTAGTGAATACCTGCTAGATATATAGTGAATACCTGGTAGATATGTAGTGAATATGTAGTGAATACCTGGTAGATATGTAGTGAATACCTGGTAGATATGTGGTGGATACCTGGTAGATATGTAGTGAATACCTGGTAGATATGTAGTGAATACCTGATAGATATGTAGTGAATACCTGGTAGATATGTAGTGAATATGTAGTGAATACCTGGTAGATATGTAGTGAATACCTGGTAGATATGTAGTGAATACCTGCTAGATATATAGTGAATACCTGGTAGATATGTAGTGAATATGTAGTGAATACCTGGTAGATATGTAGTGAATACCTGGTAGATATGTGGTGGATACCTGGTAGATATGTAGTGAATACCTGGTAGATATGTAGTGAATACCTGATAGATATGTAGTGAATACCTGGTAGATATGTAGTGAATATGTAGTGAATACCTGGTAGATATGTAGTGAATACCTGGTAGATATGTAGTGAATACCTGGTAGATATGTAGTGAAAACCTGGTAGATATGTAGTGGATACCTGGTAGATATGTAGTGGATACCTGATAGATATGTAGTGAATACCTGGTAGATATGTAGTGGATACCTAGTAGATATGTAGTGAATACCTGGTAGATATGTATGTCCTAACACTGACTCACTCACTCTCTGTAGGTGCTGCAGCGGCAAGAGCAGCTTCCAAGATGGCCGATGAGATGCGGACGTCGAGTAGTGACGTCAAGAGAGAAGAGAAGATCCACACACCTCCACCAGCTAAATCTAGTCCGGTAACGCCCTCCTCCCTCCTCCCTCTCCACCAGTTTAACACCAGCAGAATCGACTTCAAACTTTTTTATCAGCAGCAGTGTTAATGTTCAAGCCAAGTTTATTCGTACGTAACAATGTTTATTCTTAGGCAAAGCGCAAGCATGATGTGAGCAGTGACGAGGAAGTGCCGGTCATGCCGGTGAAGACGCCGCTCAGGAAGCAGTCCAGCAGTCTTACCTCAACCATCTCCTCCTCCTCTCGAGATGAGGCTGCCCCGCCCCTCAAGAGAACTAAATGTAGGTGTGACATGCCCCGCCCCGCCCCGCCCCTCAAGAGAACTAAATGTAGGTGTGACATGCCCCGCCCCGCCCCGCCCCTCAAGAGAACTAAATGTAGGTGTGACATGCCCCGCCCCGCCCCTCAAGAGAACTAAATGTAGGTGTGACATGCCCCGCCCCGCCCCTCAAGAGAACTAAATGTAGGTGTGACATGCCCCGCCCCTCAAGAGAACTAAATGTAGGTGTGACATGCCCCGCCCCGCCCCGCCCCGCCCCGCCCCTCATGAGAACTAAATGTAGGTGTGACATGCCCCGCCCCGCCCCTCAAGAGAACTTAATGTAGGTGTGACATGCCCCGCCCCGCCCCTCAAGAGAGCTGAATGTAGGTGTGACATGCCCCACCCCTCAAAGGAAATGTATGTAGGTGTGACATGCCCCGCCCCGCCCCTCAAGAGAACTGAATGAAGGTGTGACATGCCCCGCCCCTCAAGGGAACTAATTGTAGAAGTGACATGCCCCACCCCACAAGGGAAATAATTGTAGATGTGACATGCCCCGCCCCTCAAGGGAACTAATTGTAGAAGTGACATGCCCCACCCCACAAGGGAAATAATTGTAGATGTGACATGCCCCGCCCCTCAAGGGAACTAATTGTAGATGTGACATGCCCCGCCCCACAAGGGAACTAATTGTAGATGTGACATGTCCCGCCCCACAAGGGAACTAATTGTAGATGTGACATTCTGGGCCCCTCAAGGGAACTAATTGTAGATGTGACATTCTGGGCCCCTAAAGGGAACTAATTGTTGATGTGACATGCCCCGCCCCACAAGGGAACTAATTGTAGATGTGACATGCCCCACCTCTCAAGGGAACTAATTGTTGATGTGACATGCCCCGCCCCACAAGGGAACTAATTGTAGATGTGACATTCTGGGCCCCTCAAGGGAACTAATTGTAGATGTGATATGCCCCGCCCCACAAGGGAACTAATTGTAGATGTGACATGCCCCGCCCCTCAAGGGAACTAATTGTAGATGTGACATGCCCCGCCCCACAAGGGAACTAATTGTAGATGTGACATGCCCCGCCCCACAAGGGAACTAATTGTAGATGTGACATGCCCCGCCCCACAAGGGAACTAATTGTAGATGTGACATGCCCCGCCCCTCAAGGGAACTAATTGTAGATGTGACATGCCCCGCCCCACAAGGGAAATAATTGTAGATGTGACATGCCCCGCCCCACAAGGGAACTAATTGTAGATGTGACATGCCCCGCCCCACAAGGGAACTAATTGTAGATGTGACATGCCCCACCCACAAGAGAACTGAATGTAGGTGTGACATGTCCCTCCTCTCAGTGTGTGTGTGTGTGTGTGTGATGTGTGTGTGATGTGTGTGTGTAGTATGTGCATGTGTGTGATATGTGTGTGTGTGCAGTAATGTTAAGACTTGTGTCTGTTCAAACAACAGTACCTGCTAGATGTGATTTTTTCTTGGGTGTGAGGCAAGGGTGCATGTTTAGTCTTTTTCTGTTTCAGTTTTACATAAACGAATTGGTTAGTGAAATTGAACAAAATTGTCGTTTAGGTGTTCAGTTACGTTCCGTTGTTATTTTATATTTTTCTGCTTGAATTTGCTGATGACCTTAATGTGTTTGGCAATACTGTCAACAATTTACAATTGAAGATAAATATTGAGCACAAGTTGTTTTTAAAATGGGGGAGGTTTATCCGGTTTTGAAGAATGATATTATGTGGATGGAATAGTTACTGGGTACAGTTATCTTGGCAGGTGCTTGTTGTCGACAGTGTGCCTTCATAAGCAGGTGCTTGTTGTCGACAGTGTGCCTTCATAAGCAGGTGCTTGTTGTTGACAGTGTGCCTCCATAAACAGGTGCTTGTTGTTGACAGTGTGCCTTCATAAGCAGGTGCTTGTTTTTGACAGTGTGCCTTCATAAGCAGGTGCTTGTTGTTGACAGTGTGCCTCCATAAACAGGTGCTTGTTGTTGACAGTGTGCCTTCATAAGCAGGTGCTTGTTGTTGACTGCCTTCATAAGCAGGTGCTTGTTTTTGACTGTGTGCCTTTTATAAGCAGGTGCTTGTTGACAGTGTGCCTTCATAAGCAGGTGCTTGTTGTTGACTGCCTTCATAAGCAGGTGCTTGTTGTTTACAGTGTGCCTTCATAAGCAGGTCCTTGTTGAAAGTATGCCTTCATAAGCAGGTGCTTGTTGTTGACAGTGTGCCTTCATAAGCAGGTGCTTGTTGTTGACAGTGTGCCTTCATAAGCAGGTGCTTGTTTTTGACAGTGTGCCTTCATAAGCAGGTGCTTGTTGTTGACAGTGTGGGGTGAAGGGTGTGGTGTGTGTGTATGTGTGTGTGTATTTAAGGGTGTGTATGTAGGTGATAGTGTGTATGTAGGTGATAGTGTGTATGTAGCTGCATGTGTGTATGTAGGTGATAGTGTGTATGTGTCTGTATGTAGGTGCATGTGTGTATGTGTGTGTAGGTGATAGTGTATGTAGGTGATAGTGTGTATGTGTGTGTATGTAGGTGATAGTGTGTATGTGTGTGTATATAGGTGATCGTGTGTATGTGTGTGTATGTAGGTGCACGTGTGTATGTGTGTGTATGTAGGTGATAGTGTGTATGTAGGTGATAGTGTGTATGTAGGTACATGTGTGTATGTGTGTGTATGTAGGTGCATGTGTGTATGTGTGTGTATGTAGGTGTATGTGTGTGTATGTAGGTGATAGTATGTGTGTGTATGTAGCTGCATGTGTGTATGTAGGTGATAGTGTGTATGTGTCTGTATGTAGGTGCATGTGTGTATGTGTGTGTATGTAGGTGCATGTGTGTATGTGTGTGGATGTAGGTGATAGTGTGTATGTGTGTGTATGTAGGTGCATGTGTGTATGTAGGTGCATGTGTGTATGTAGGTGATAGTGTGTATGTGTGTGTATGTATGTAGGTAAGAGTGTGTATGTGTGTGTATGTAGGTGCATATGTGTATGTGTGTGTATGTAGGTGCATGTGTGTATGTAGGTGATAGTGTGTATGTGTGTGTATGTAGCTGCATGTGTGTATGTAGGTGCATATGTGTATGTATGTGTATGTAGGTGATAGTGTGCATGTGTGTGTATGTAGATGATAGTGTGCATGTGTGTGTATGTAGGTGCATGTATGTATGTGTGTGTGGCATTGTATCAGTTATCTTGTCTGTATTCTTCCAGCGGAGCCCCCCAAGGCATCGCCGGCCAAGGCATTCCACAAGGTGATGGAGAAGGTTGTGTTTGTGATGAGCGGCTACCAGAACCCCTACCGTGGGGAACTGAGAGAGAAGGCCTTGGAGATGGGGGCCAAGTACCGACCTGACTGGGGGCGGGGATGTACACATCTCATGTGAGTCTCTCCCATCTATGTAGTTCTGTCTCTCCATGTCTCTCCCATGTATGTAGTTCTGTCTCTCCATGTCTCTCCCATCTATGTAGTTCTGTCTCTCCATGTCTCTCTATGTTTCTACCAGCTGTACAGTTCCATCTCTTCATGTCTCTCCCAGCTGTACAGTTCCGTCTCTTCATGTCTCTCCCAGCTGTACAGTTCTCTCTCTTCAAATCTCTCCATGTCTCTCCCATCTATGTAGTTCTGTCTCTCCATGTCTCTCCCATCTATGTAGTTCTATCTCTCCATGTCTCTCCCAGCTGTACAGTTCTCTTCATGTCTCTCCCAGCTGTACAGTTCTGTCTCTTCATGTCTCTCCATGTCTCCCAGCTGTACAGTTCTGTCTCTTCATGTCTCTCCCAGCTGTACAGTTCTCTCTCTTCAAATCTCTCCATGTCTCTCCCATCTATGTAGTTCTGTCTCTCCATGTCTCTCCCATCTATGTAGTTCTATCTCTCCATGTCTCTCCCAGCTGTACAGTTCTCTTCATGTCTCTCCCAGCTGTACAGTTCTGTCTCTTCATGTCTCTCCATGTCTCCCAGCTGTACAGTTCTGTCTCTTCATGTCTCTCCCAGATGTGCGTTTGACAACACCCCCAAGTACCAGCAGGTGGAGGGGCGTGGCCGGATTGTCAACAAGCAGTGGATCGTGGACAGCTACAAGCAGAAGAAGCTCTTGCCCTGGAGGAAGTAAGTATACAGTACACCATGAATTGGGAATACACCATGTGTCTGGGAATACACCATGTGTCGGGAATACACCATGTGTCGGGGAATACACCATGTGTCAGGGAATTCACCTGTGGCAGGCAATACACTATGTGTCCGGGAATACACCATGTGTCAGGGAATACACCATGTGTCAGGGAATACACCATGTATTCGGGAATACTTCATGTTTTGAGGAATACACCATGTAGCTGGGAATACACCATGTGTCAGGGAATACACCATGTATTCTGGAATACTTCATGTTTTGAGGAAAACACCATGTAGCTGGGAATACACCATGTGTCAGGGAATACACCATGTGTCAGGGAATACACCATGTATTCTGGAATACTTTATGTTTTGAGCAATACACCATGTGTCGGGGAATACACCATGTGTCGGGGAATACACAATGTGTTGGGGAATACACCATGTGTCAGGGAATACTTCATGTGTCGGGGTATACACCATGTGTTGGGGAATACACCATGTGTCAGGGAATACTTCATGTGTCGGGGAATACACCATGTGTTGGGGAATACACCATGTGTCAGGGAATACTTCATGTGTCGGGGTATACACCATGTGTCTGGACCAGACAATCCAGTGATTAATATCATGAGCATCGATCCACGCAATTGGGATCGATGACATGCATTAACCAAGTCACCTGACCACCCGATCCCGTTAGTCGCCTTTTACGACAAGCATAGTCACCTTTTACGGCAAGCATGGGTTGCTGAAAACCTACTCTACCCCGGAATCTTCATGGGTCTTGTGTTGGGGAATACACACACCATGTGTTGGGGAATACACACAATGTGTCGGGGAATACACCATGTGTCTGGGAATACACCATGTGTCGGGGAATGCACCATGTGTTGGGGAATACACACACCATGTGTTGGGGAATGCACCATGTGTTGGGGAATACACACACCATGTGTCGGGAATACACCATGTGTCGGGGAATACACCATTTGTTGGGGAATACACACACCATGTGTCGGGGAATACACCATGTGTTGGGGAATACACTATGTGTCGGGGAATACACCATGTGTTTGGGAATACATCATGTGTCGGGGATTCACCATGTGTTGGGGAATACACACACCATGTGTCGGGGAATATACCATGTGTCGGGGAATACACCATGTGTTGGGGAATACACCATGTGTCGGGGAATACACCATGTGTTGGGGAATACACACACCATGTGTTGGGGAATACACCATGTGTTGGGGAATACACACACCATGTGTTGGGGAATACACCATGTGTTGGGGAATACACCATGTGTTGGGGAATACACCATGTGTCGGGGAATACACACACCATGTGTCGGGGAATACACCATGTGTTGGGGAATACACACACCATGTGTCGGGGAATACACCATGTGTTGGGGAATACACCATGTGTTGGGGAATACACCATGTGTCGGGGAATACACACACCATGTGTTGGGGAATACACCATGTGTTGGGGAATACACCATGTGTCGGGGAATACACACACCATGTGTTGGGGAATACACCGTGTGTTGGGGAATACACCATGTGTTGGGGAATACACCGTGTGTTGGGGAATACACCATGTGTTGGGGAATACACCATGTGTTGGGGAATACACACACCATGTGTCGGGGAATACACACACCATGTGTCGGGGAATACACACACCATGTGTCGGGGAATACACCATGTGTCGGGGAATACACCATGTTTTGGGGAATACACCATGTGTTGGGGAATACACCGTGTGTTGGGGAATACACCATGTGTTGGGGAATACACCATGTGTTGGGGAATACACACACCATGTGTCGGGGAATACACACACCATGTGTCGGGGAATACACACACCATGTTTCGGGGAATACACCATGTGTCGGGGAATACACCATGTGTTGGGGAATACACCATGTGTCGGGGAATACACCATGTGTTGGGGAATACACACACCATGTGTCGGGGAATACACCATGTGTTCGGGAATACACACACCATGTGTTTGGGAATACACCATGTGTTGGGGAATACACCATGTGTTGGGGAATACACCATGTGTTTGGGAATACACCATGTGTCGGGGAATACACCATGTGTTGGGGAATACACCATGTGTCGGGGAATACACCATGTGTTGGGGAATACACCATGTGTTGGGGAATACACCATGTGTTCGGGAATACACACACCATGTGTTGGGGAATACACCATGTGTCGGGGAACACACCATGTGTTGGGGAATACACCATGTGTTGGGGAATACACCATGTGTTGGGGAATACACACACCATGTGTCGGGGAATACACCATGTGTTGGGGAATACACACACCATGTGTCGGGGAATACACCATGTGTCGGGGAATACACCATGTGTTGGGGAATACACCATGTGTTGGGGAATACACCATGTGTCGGGGAATACACCATGTTTTGGGGAATACACACACCATGTGTTGGGGAATACACCATGTGTTGGGGAATACACCATGTGTTGGGGAATACACACACCATGTGTTGGGGAATACACACACCATGTGTTGGGGAATACACACACCATGTGTTGGGGAATACACCATGTGTTGGGGAATACACCACGTGTCGGGGAATACACATGCCATGTGTTGGGGAATACACCATGTGTCGGGGAATACACCATGTGTTGGGGAATACACACACCATGTTTTTGGGAATACACACACCATGTGTCTGGGAATACACCATGTGTTCGGGAATACACACATAATGTGTTGGGGAATACACCATGTGTCGGGGAATACACCATGTGTTGGGGAATACACACACCATGTGTTTGGGAATACACACACCATGTGTTAGGGAATACACCATGTATACATATGTACATATGTCACAGTGTTGCGTTGTTTTCCCAGATACAGAGTTGGAGATGCTGACACCCCAGACGAAAGTTCTGATGAGGATGAGGCCAGTGCTCTACCGCCACACAACCCGGCCCGACAAGGTGAGAGTCAGGGGTTGTTGAGGGGAGGGTGAGGCCAGTGCTCTACCACCACACAACCCGGCCCGACAAGGTGAGAGTCAGGGGTTGTTGAGGGGAGGGTGAGGCCAGTGCTCTACCACCACACAACCCGGCCCGAGAAGGTGAGAGTCCGGGGTTGTTGAGGGGAGGGTGAGGCCAGTGCTCTACCGCCACACAACCCAGCCCGACAAGGTGAGAGTCAGGGGTTGTTGAGGGGACGATGAGGCCAGTGCTCTACCGCCACACAACCACCCCGACAAGGTGAGAGTCCGGGGTTGTTGAGTGGAGGGTGAGGCCAGTGCTCTACCACCACACAACCCGGCCCGACAAGGTGAGAGTCAGGGGTTGTTGAGTGGAGGGTGAGACCAGTGCTCTGCCACCACACAACCCGGCCCGACAAGGTGAGAGTCAGGGGTTGTTGAGGGGAGGGTGAGGCCAGTGCTCTACCGCCACACAAACCAGCCCGACAAGGTGGGAGTCAGGGGTTGTTGAGGGGAGGGTGAGGCCAGTGCTCTACCGCCACACAAACCACCCCGACAAGGTGAGAGTCAGGGGTTGTTGAGGGGAGGGTGAGGCCAGTGCTCTACCACCACACAACCCGGGCCCCAGGAGGGTGTCGCTGTGGAGGATAACAATGAATGAACAGGCTCGTCAAGATGTCTCAAGTCAACAGAGTGTTCTTCTGTTTATCAGGCAGCTCCAGCAAGAAGCCAGTGACGCCTAAGTCTCCTCCCAGGAAGAAGTCAACCAAGATGGACGTAGGTATGTGTCTGTGTTCTGTGTACAGATGTAGGTATGTGTCTGTGTTCTGTGTACAGATGTAGGTATGTGTCTGTGTTCTGTGTACAGATGTAGGTATGTGTCTGTGTTCTGTGTACAGATGTATGTATGTGTGTTCTGTGTACAGATGTAGGTATGTGTCTGTGTACAGATGTAGGTATGTGTCTGTGTACAGATGTAGGTATGTGTCTGTTCTGTGTACAGATGTAGGTATGTGTCTGTGTACAGATGTAGGTATGTGTCTGTGTTCTGTGTACAGATGTAGGTATGTGTCTGTGTTCTGTGTACAGATGTAGGTATGTGTCTGTGTACAGATGTAGGTATGTGTCTGTGTACAGAGGTAGGTATGTGTCTGTGTTCTGTGTACAGACGTAGGTATGTGTCTGTGTTCTGTGTACAGATGTATGTATGTGTCTGTGTACAGATGTAGGTATGTGTCTGTGTTCTGTGTACAGACGTAGGTATGTGTCTGTGTTCTGTGTACAGACGTAGGTATGTGTCTGTGTTCTGTGTACAGATGTAGGTATGTGTCTGTGTACAGATGTAGGTATGTGTCTGTGTACAGAGGTAGGTATGTGTCTGTTCTGTGTACAGATGTAGGTATGTGTCTGTGTACAGATGTAGGTATGTGTCTGTGTTCTGTGTACAGACATAGGTATGTGTCTGAGTTCTGTGTACAGAGGTAGATATGTGTCTGTGTTCTGTGTACAGATGTAGGTATGTGTCTGTGTTCTGTGTACAGATGTAGGTATGTGTCTGTGTTCTGTGTACAGATGTAGGTATGTGTCTGTGTACAGACATAGGTATGTGTCTGTGTTCTGTGTACAGACGTAGGTATGTGTCTGTGTACAGACCTAGGTATGTGTCTGTGTTCTCTGTACAGATGTAGGTATGTGTTTGTGTTCTGTGTACAGATGTAGGTATGTGTTTGTGTTCTGTGTACAGATGTAGATATGTGTCTGTGTTCTGTGTACAGAGGTAGATATGTGTCTGTGTTCTGTGTACAGATGTAGGTATGTGTCTGTGTACAGATGTAGGTATGTGTCTGTGTACAGATGTAGGTATGTGTCTGTGTTCTGTGTACAGATGTAGGTATGTGTCTGTGTTCTGTGTACAGATGTAGGTATGTGTCTGTGTTCTGTGTACAGACATAGGTATGTGTCTGTGTTCTGTGTACAGATGTATGTATGTGTCTGTGTACAGATGTAGGTATGTGTCTGTGTTCTGTGTACAGATGTAGGTATGTGTCTGTGTTCTGTGTACAGATGTAGGTATGTGTCTGTGTTCTGTGTACAGATGTAGGTATGTGCCTGTGTTATGTGTACAGATGTAGGTATGTGTCTGTTCTGTGTACAGATGTAGGTATGTGTCTGTGTTCTGTGTACAGATGAAGGTATGTGTCTGTGTTCTGTGTACAGATGTAGATATGTGCCTGTGTTCTGTGTACAGATGTATGTATGTGTCTGTGTTCTGTGTACAGATGTAGGTATGTGTCTGTTCTGTGTACAGATGTAGATATGTGTCTGTGTTCTGTGTACAGATGTATGTATGTGTCTGTGTTCTGTGTACAGATGTAGGTATGTGTCTGTTCTGTGTACAGACGTAGGTATGTGTCTGTGTTCTGTGTACAGATGTGGGTATGTGTCTGTGTTCTGTGTACAGACGTAGGTATGTGTCTGTGTTCTGTGTACAGATGTATGTATGTGTTCTGTGTACAGATGTATGTATGTGTCTGTGTACAGATGTAGGTATGTGTCTGTGTTCTGTGTACAGATGTAGGTATGTGTCTGTGTACAGACATAGGTATGTGTCTGTGTTCTGTGTACAGACGTAGGTATGTGTCTGTGTACAGACCTAGGTATGTGTCTGTGTTCTCTGTACAGATGTAGGTATGTGTTTGTGTTCTGTGTACAGATGTAGGTATGTGTTTGTGTTCTGTGTATAGATGTAGATATGTGTCTGTGTTCTGTGTACAGACGTAGGTATGTGTCTGTGTTCTGTGTACAGATGTAGATATGTGTTTGTGTTCTGTGTACAGATGTAGGTATGTTTTTGTGTTCTGTGTACAGATGTAGATATGTGTCTGTGTTCTGTGTACAGATGTAGATATGTGTTTGTGTTCTGTGTACAGATGTAGATATGTGTCTGTGTTCTGTGTACAGATGTAGATATGTGTCTGTTCTGTGTACAGATGTAGATATGTGTCTGTGTTCTGTGTACAGAGGTAGGTATGTGTGTTCTGTGTACAGATGTAGATATGTGTCTCTGTTCTGTGTACAGATGTAGATATGTGTCTGTGTTCTGTGTACAGACCTAGGTATGTGTCTGTGTACAGATGTAGGTATGTGTCTGTGTTCTGTGTACAGATGTATGTATGTGTGTTCTGTGTACAGATGTAGGTATGTGTCTGTGTTCTGAGTACAGATGTAGGTATGTGTGTTCTGTGTACAGACATAGGTATGTGTCTCTGTTCTGTGTACAGATGTAGATATGTGTCTGTGTTCTGTGTACAGATGTAGGTATGTGTCTGTGTACAGATGTAGGTATGTGTCTGTGTTCTGTGTACAGACATAGGTATGTGTCTGTGTTCTGTGTACAGATGTAGGTATGTGTCTGTGTACAGATGTAGGTATGTGTCTGTGTACAGACGTAGGTATGTGTCTGTGTACAGATGTAGGTATGTGTCTGTGTTCTGTGTACAGATGTATGTATGTGTGTTCTGTGTACAGATGTAGGTATGTGTCTGTGTTCTGAGCACAGATGTAGGTATGTGTCTGTGTTCTGTGTACAGACATAGGTATGTGTCTCTGTTCTGTGTACAGATGTAGATATGTGTCTGTGTTCTGTGTACAGATGTAGGTATGTGTCTGTGTACAGATGTAGGTATGTGTCTGTGTTCTGTGTACAGACATAGGTATGTGTCTGTGTTCTGTGTACAGATGTAGGTATGTGTCTGTGTACAGATGTAGGTATGTGTCTGTGTACAGACGTAGGTATGTGTCTGTGTTCTGTGTACAGATGCAGGTATGTGTCTGTGTGTGTACAGACGTAGGTATGTGTCTGTGTACAGATGTAGGTATGTGTCTGTGTTCTGTGTACAGACGTAGGTATGTGTCTGTGTTCTGTGTACAGATGTATGTATGTGTCTGTGTACAGACATAGGTATGTGTCTGTGTTCTGTGTACAGATGTAGGTATGTGTCTGTGTACAGATGTATGTATGTGTGTTCTGTGTACAGATGTAGGTATGTGTCTGTGTTCTGTGTACAGATGTAGGTATGTGTCTGTGTACAGATGTAGGTATGTGTCTGTGTACAGACGTAGGTATGTGTCTGTGTTCTGTGTACAGATGCAGGTATGTGTCTGTGTTCTGTGTACAGACGTAGGTATGTGTCTGTGTACAGATGTAGGTATGTGTCTGTGTACAGATGTAGGTATGTGTCTGTTCTGTGTACAGACATAGGTATGTGTCTGTTCTGTGTACAGATGTAGGTATGTGTCTGTGTACAGATGGAGGTATGTGTCTGTTGTGTTTGTTGCAATGTTGATATTTGGGTATGTGTAACAAGATGTCTACTGACAACTGCTACACTGCTCAGTGAGAGCTGCTGGAGTATGAAGATGTCGGGAAGCACTTGATGATTACAACAATGTTGTTATCTTTACAGACGACATGTATGGAGGAGACACCGACTCAGGCGAGGACACAGACGATGAAATACGGAGGTACGTACCTGTCTGATTGTACAATACAGCAAGGCAATGATACGATATGATACATTAGCCACGATACGATGTGATACATAGGCCATGATAAGATATGATACATAGGCCATGATACGATATGATACATTAGCCACGATACGATGTGATACATAGGCCACAATATGATATAATACATAGGCCATGATAAGATATGATACATAGGCCATGATAAGATATGATACATAGGCCATGATACGATATGATACATAGGCCACAATATGATATGATACATAGGCCATGATAAGATATGATACATAGGCCATGATACGATATGATACATTAGCCATGATACGATATGATACATAGGCCATGATAAGATATGATACATAGGCCATGATAAGATATAATACATAGGCCAGGATACGATATGATACATTAGCCATGTTACGATATGATACATAGGCCATGATAAGATATAATACATAGGCCAGGATACGATATGATACATTAGCCATGATACGATATGATACATAGGCCATGATAAGATATGATACATAGGCCATGATAAGATATGATACATAGGCCATGATACGATATGATTCATAGGCCACAATATGATATGATACATAGGCCATGATAAGATATGATACATAGGCAATGATACGATATGATACATTAGCCATGATACGATATGATACATAGGCCATGATACGACAGATACATAGGCCATGATACAATATGATACATTGGCCAGGATACGATGTGATACATAGGCCATGATGCAATATGATACATAGGTCATGATATGATATGATACATAGGCCATGATACATTGGCCACGATACGATGTGATGCATAGGTCATGATAAGATATGATACATAGGTCATGATACGATATGATATATTGGCCATGATACGATATGATACATAGGCCATGATATGATACATTAGCCATGATACGATATGAGACATAGGCCATGATACGACAGATACATAGGCCATGATACAATATGATACATTGGCCATGATACGATATGAGACATAGGTCATGATAAGATATGATATATTGGCCATGATACGATATGAGACATAGGCCATGATACGATATGATATATTGGCCATGATACGATATGAGACATAGGCCATGATACGACAGATACATAGGCCATGAAACAATATGATACATTGGCCATGATATGATATGAGACATAGGTCATGATAAGATATGATATATTGGCCATGATACAATATGAGACATAGGCCATGATACGACATATGATACATAGGCCATGATAAGATATGATACATTCGCAATGATATGATTTGATACATTGGCCACGACGCAATATGATACATTGGCCATGATATGATATGATACATTGGCCATGATATGATATGATACATAGGCCATGATATGATATGATACATTGGCCATGATATGATATGATACATTAGCCATGATATGATATGATACATAGGCCATGATAAGATATGATACATAGGCCATGATATGATATGATACATAGGCCAAGATACGATATGATTATGATACATAGGACATGATATGATACATTGGCCATGATACGATATGATACATAGGCCACGATACGATATGATACATAGGCCAGGATATGATATGATACATAGGCCATGATACGATATGATACATAGGCCACGATACGATATGATACATAGGCCATGATATGATATGATACATTGGCCATGATACGATATGATACATAGGCCATGATACGACATATGATACATAGGCCATGATACAATATGATACATAGGGCACGATATGATACATCAGTCATGATTCATAGGCCATGATACGATGTGATACATAGGGCACGATACGATATGATACATAGGCCATGATATGATACATTGGCCATGATACGATATGAGACATAGGCCATGATACGACAGATACATAGGCCATGATACAATATGATACATTGGCCATGATACGATATGAGACATAGGTCATGATAAGATATGATATATTGGCCATGATACAATATGAGACATAGGCCATGATAAGATATGATATATTGGCCATGATACGATATGAGACATAGGCCATGATACGACAGATACATAGGCCATGAAACAATATGATACATTGGCCATGATACGATATGAGACATAGGTCATGATAAGATATGATATATTGGCCATGATACAATATGAGACATAGGCCATGATACGACATATGATACATAGGCCATGATAAGATATGATACATTCGCAATGATATGATTTGATACATTGGCCACGATGCAATATGATACATTGGCCATGATATGATATGATACATTGGCCATGATATGATATGATACATTGGCCATGATATGACATGATACATAGGCCATGATATGATATGATACATTGGCCATGATATGATATGATACATTAGCCATGGTATGATATGATACATAGGCCATGATAAGATATGATACATAGGCCATGATATGATATGATACATAGGCCAAGATACGATATGATTATGATACATAGGACATGATATGATACATTGGCCATGATACGATATGATACATAGGCCATGATACGATATGATACATAGGCCAGGATATGATATGATACATAGGCCATGATACGATATGATACATAGGCCACGATACGATATGATACATAGGCCATGATATGATATGATACATTGGCCATGATACGATATGATACATAGGCCATGATACGACATATGATACATAGGCCATGATACGATATGATACATAGGGCACGATATGATACATCAGTCATGATTCATAGGCCATGATACGATGTGATACATAGGGCACGATATGATATGATACATAGGTCATGATACAATGTGTATCATGATTCACGAGCATATTCAGATTAAATTGCGTTGAAACTTCTTGACTGTAAATATTTCAGAGCAGGATCTAAAGGAAATCTGTCTGTAGACATTGTTCGTAGCAACTATTTTAGTGAACTGGAAATGCTTATTAAAATACATTTTGTGATATATGATTGACAGTTACTGTCTGTTCAGACAGTAGTGTCTGAATATGTGGATGTAGAGGCACAGTGTCTGAATATGTGGATGTAGAGGCACAGTGTCTGAATATGTGGATGTAGAGGCACAGTGTCTGAATATGTGGATGTAGAGGCACAGTGTCTGTACAGACAGTGGTGTCTGAATATGTGGATGTAGAGGCACAGTATCTGAATATGTGGATGTAGAGGCACAGTGTCTGAATATTTGGATGTAGAGGCACAGTGTCTGAATATGTGGATGTAGAGGCACAGTGTCTGTACAGACAGTGGTGTCTGAATATGTGGATGTAGAGGCAAAGTGTCTGTACAGACAGTAGTGTCTGAATATGTGGATGTAGAGGCACAGTGTCTGAATATGTGGATGTAGAGGCACAGTGTCTGAACAGACAGTAGTGTCTGAATATGTGGATGTAGAGGCACAGTGTCTGTACAGACAGTAGTGTCTGAATATGTGGATGTAGAGGCACAGCGTCTGTACAGACAGTGGTGTCTGAATATGTGGATGTAGAGGCACAGTGTCTGTGTTACACTTGACTGTTGACTCCGTGATCAGGGCCAAGGAGAAGGTAGCGAGACACGAGGCTGCCGTTGCCAAGTCTCCAGGGAGGAAGTGTGATGTTGACCCCTACTGTGGCTCCACAGATGAAGATGATGACACGCCCCCAGGAACTGTTGCCAGGGACGATGGTGATGACAGTGCAGACTCAGGATTGCCTGACCTCCCGGACTTCTTGTCAGACAAACACTTCTTCCTGTACGGAGAGATACCCGCCCCCGAGAGACGGCTCCTTGGCCGCTACATCGCTGCATATGACGGGTAAGGATGGGGAGTGGACATGGGAGGGGGAGGGGGAGGGACATGGGAGGGGGGGGGGGAGGGACATGGGAGGTGGAGGGGGAGGGACATGGGATGAAGAGGGGGAGGACATGGGAGGTGGAGGGGGAGGGCCATGGGATGAGAGGGGGAGGAACGTGGGATGAAGAGGTGGAGGACATGGGAGGGGGAGGGACATGGGAGGGGGAGGGACGTGGGATGAGAGGGGGAGGGACATGGGATGAAGAGGGGGAGGACATGGGAGGGGGAGGGACGTGGGATGAGAGGGGGAGGGACGTGGGATGAGAGGGGGAGGGACATGGGATGAAGAGGTGGAGGACATGGGAGGTGGAGGGACATGGGATGGGAGGGGGAGGGACATGGGATGAGAGGGGGAGGGACATGGGATGAAGAGGTGGAGGACATGGGAAGGGGAGGGACATGGGAGGGGGAGGGCCATGGGATGAGAGGGGGAGGAACGTGGGATGAAGAGGTGGAGGACATGGGAGGGGGAGGGACATGGGAGGGGGAGGGACGTGGGATGAGAGGGGGAGGGACGTGGGATGAGAGGGGGAGGGACATGGGATGAAGAGGTGGAGGGGGAGGGACATGGGATGAAGAGGGGGAGGACATGGGAGGGGGAGGGACGTGGGATGAGAGGGGGAGGGACATGGGATGAAGAGGTGGAGGACATGGGAGGTGGAGGGACATGGGATGGGAGGGGGAGGGACATGGGATGAGAGGGGGAGGGACATGGGATGAAGAGGGGGAGGACATGGGAGGTGGAGGGGGAGGAACGTGGGATGAAGAGGTGGAGGACATGGGAGGGGGAGGGACATGGGATGGGAGGGGGAGGGACGTGGGATGGGAGGGAGGGGGAGGGACATGGGATGGGAGGGAGGGGGAGGACATGGGATGAAGAGGGGGAGGGACATGGGATGGGAGGGGGAGGGACATGGAATGGGAGGGGGAGGACATGGGATGGGAGGGGGAGGGACGTGGAATGGGAGGGGGAGGGACGTGGGATGGGAGGGGGAGGGACATGGGATGGGAGGGGGAGGGACGTTGGATGGGAGGGGGAGGGACGTGGGATGGGAGGGGGAGGGACATGGGATGAAGAGGTGGAGGACATGGGAGGGGGAGTGGGAGGGACATGGGAGGGGGAGGGACATGGGATAGGAGGGGGAGGGAGGTGGAGGACATGGGATGGGGAGTGGGAGGGACATGGGATAGGAGGGGGAGGGACATGGGAGGGGGAGGGGAAGGACATGGGATGGGAGGGGGAGGGACGTGGAATGGGAGGGGGAGGGACGTGGGATGGGAGGGGGAGGGACATGGGATGGGAGGGGGAGGGACGTGGGATGGGAGGGGGAGGGACGTGGGATGGGAGGGGGAGGGACATGGGATGAAGAGGTGGAGGACATGGGAGGGGGAGTGGGAGGGACATGGGATAGGAGGGGGAGGGATGTGGGATGAAGAGGTGGAGGACATGGAAGGGGGAGGGGGAGGGACGTGGGATGGGGAGTGGCATGGGAGGGGGAGGGACGTGGGATGGGAGGGGGAGGGACGTGGGATGGGGAGGGCATGGGATGAAGAGGTGGAGGACATGGGAGGGGGAGGGACTTGGCCACAATGTGTTACTTGGTTGTAAGTCTGTTTTACCAAGTCTAACTTGTCACGTTGTTTTCAGATGTCTTGAGGAATACATGTCGAACACAGTCAAGTACGTGGTCACCGCTGCTAAGTGGGATGACAATTTTAATGAGGTGAGGAACCTGGTCTGGGTGATTAGGCCTGAGATGGGTACTGTATATTGCCTGATACTAGGTGATTAGGTCTGAGATAGGTACCGTATGTTGCCTGATACTGGGTGATTAGGTCTGAGATGGGTACTGTATGTTGCCTGATACTGGGTGATTAGGTCTGAGATGGGTACTGTATATTGCCTTATACTGGGTGATTAGGTCTGAGATGGGTACTGTATGTTGTCTGATACTGGGTGATTAGGTCACAGATGGTACTGTATGTTGTCCGATCCTGGGTGATTAGGTCTGAGATGAGTACTGTATGTTGTCTGATTTGGCGATTAGGTCTCAGATGGTACTGTATGTTTCCTGATACTGGGTGATTAGGTCTGAGATTGGTACTGTATGTTGTCTGATACTGGGTGATTAGGTCTCAGATGGTACTGTATGTTGTCTGATACTGGGTGATTAGATCTGAGATTGGTACTGTATGTTGTCTGATACTGAGTGATTAGGTCTCAGATGGTACTGTATGTTGCCTGATACTGGGTGATTAGGTCTGAGATGGGTACTGTATGTTGTCTGATACTGAGTGATTAGGTCTGAGATTGGTACTGTATGTTGCCTTAATACTGGGTGATTAGGTCTCAGATGGTACTGTATGTTGTCTGATACTTGGTGATTAGGTCTCAGATGGTACTGTATGTTGTCTGATACTGGGTGATTAGGTCTCAGATGGTACTGTATGTTGTCTGATACTGGGTGATTAGGTCTCAGATGGTACTGTATGTTGTCTGATACTGGGTGATTAGGTCTGAGATGGGTACTGTATGTTGTCTGATACTGGGTGATTAGGCCTCAGATGGTACTGTATGTTGTCTGATACTTGGTGATTAGGTCTCAGATGGTACTGTATGTTGTCTGATACTGGGTGATTAGGTCTCAGATGGTACTGTATGTTGCCTGATACTGGGTGATTAGGTCTGAGATGGGTACTGTATGTTGCCTTATACTGGGTGATTAGGTCTCAGATGGGTACTGTATGTTGTCTGATACTGGGTGATTAGGTCTGAGATGGGTACTCTATGTTGTCTGATACTGGGTGATTAGGTCTGAGATTGGTACTGTATGTTGCCTGATACTGGGTGATTAGGTCTGAGATGGGTACTGTATGTTGTCTGATACTGGGTGATTAGGTCTCAGATGGTACTGTATGCTGCCTGATACTGGGTGATTAGGTCTCAGATGGTACTGTATGTTGTCTGATACTGAGTGATTAGGTCTGAGATTGGTACTGTATGTTGCCTGATACTGGGTGATTAGGTCTGAGATGGGTACTGTATGTTGTCTGATACTGGGTGATTAGGTCTCAGATGGTACTGTATGTTGTCTGATAGTGGGTGATTAGGTCTGAGATTGGTACTGTATGTTGCCTGATACTGGGTGATTAGGTCTGAGATGGGTACTGTATGTTGTCTGATACTGGATGATCAGGTCTCAGATGATACTGTATGTTGCCTGATACTGGGTGATTAGGTCTGAGATTGGTACTGTATGTTGTCTGATACTTGGTGATTAGGTCTGAGATGGTACTGTATGTTGCCTGATACTGGGTGATTAGGTCTCAGATGGTACTGTATGTTGCCTTATACTGGGTGATTAGGTCTGAGATGGGTACTGTATGTTGCCTGACAACGGTATACGGATCTATACCGAAACGTGGGTTTTTACAGTATTAAAGAAGTTGTTATCCATAAAATTGTGTCTACCTGGTACTGTATGTTGTCTGATACTGGGTGATTAGGTCTCAGATAGTACTGTATGTTGCCTGATACTGGGTGATTAGGTCACAGATGGTACTGTATGTTGTCTGATACTGGGTGATTAGGTCTCAAATGGGTACTGTATGTTGCCTGATACTAGGTGATTAGGTCTCAGATGGTACTGTATGTTGCCTGATACTGGGTGATTAGGTCTCAGATGGTACTGTATGTTGCCTGATACTTGGTGATTAGGTCTCAGATGGTACTGTATGTTGTCTGATACTGGGTGATTAGGTCTCAGATGGTACTGTATGTTGCCTGATACTGGGTGATTAGGTCTGAGATTGGTACTGTATGTTGCTTGATACTGGGTGATTAGGTCTGAGATTGGTACTGTATGTTGTCTGATACTGTGTGATTAGGTCTCAGATGGTACTGTATGTTGCCTGATACTTGGTGATTATTTCTCAGATGATACTATATGTTGTCTGATACTGGGTGATTAGGTCTCAGATGGTACTGTATGTTGCCTGATACTTGGTGATAAGGTCTCAGATGGTACTGTATGTTGTCTGATACTGGGTGATTAGGTCTCAGATGGTACTGTATGTTGTCTGATACTGGGTGATTAGGTCTGAGATGGTACTGTATGTTGCCTGATACTGGGTGATTAGGTGTTCTCTGTTCCAGGCTCTCAGTGAAAACCCGAATCTGGTCTTTGTGAAGCCGCAGTGGCTTCATATGTGTCATGACAAGGGTAAACTGATGCCCTACCAGCCCTACATCGTTGTACCAACGTGATTTCCTACCAGCCCTACATCGTTGTACCAACGTGATTTCCTACCAGCCCTACATCGTTGTACCAACGTGATTTCCTACCAGCCCTACATCGTTGTACAGACGTGATTTCCTACCAGCCCTACATCGTTGTACCAACGTGATTTCCTACCAGCCCTACATCGTTGTACCGACGCGATGCCCTACCAGCCCTACATCGTTGTACAGACGTGATTTCCTACAAGCCCTACATCGTCGTACCTACGTGATCTCCTACCAGCGCTACATTGTCGTACCTACGTGATTTTCTACCAGCCCTACATCGTCGTACCTACGTGATTTCCTACCAGCCCTACATCGTCGTACCTACGTGATCTCCTACCAGCGCTACATTGTCGTACCTACGTGATCTCCTACCAGCCCTACATTGTCGTAACTAAATGATTCATCGCTACATTTTCGTAACTAAATGAGTCATCCCTACATTGTCGTAACTAAATGAGTCATCGCTACATTGTCGTAACTAGCTGAGTCATCGCTCCATTGTCATAACTAAATGAATCATCGCTACATTGTCATGCCAAAGTGAGGCTCCACTAGCCCCTCAGCATCATACCTGCGTGAGTCATCGCTACATTGTCAGTGTTCGCGGTAGGTTTTTGTACAGTGTGTGTAGAAATGAAACAATAAATTTTCAATTCAAATATTTCGCGTGTGAAGTTTTTATTTCAATAAAATCAGTACTAGTACAGCTAATAATTATGACCAAGCTTTAACTTACGGTCCCGTTTTAATATAATATTTTGTAATGTTTGAGAACTAATTGCAAGTCTATGATCAGCCAGAACACTGTGTCTGACAAGAGCATTTCGCTGGTATGTCTTACACTCTCTTGTGAAAGTGTTGGACGTACCAGCCTTTCCACATGCCCTACAAAACATAACTATCCCATCGTTTGACGCTGTTTGTCTCAGCCACAGAAAGTCACTCTCCCATTTGTGTAAATAGTTCGGTGATTTGCGAGCTTTTTTGATTTCGGAACAACTTGTAGTCTCACTAATATCAGAATCTAGGTGTCTGCACTCAGATCTGCTTCGGTATTAGACAGAGTGCTAGGTGACACAAACCGTAACAAAGAGGACTGTTTTGACATCGTGAATCCTGTTTACGTGTGTCACTTGTATTCTAGCAGACGACAACGTTCAAACTATTCGTTAACCAATCAAAGCTCCCGTTACAAGGACGCGATTCAAAGCACCATCTGGCCACATTCTATTTTTAGCAATGGGAATTTCCAGGTTTTGATTTTATTTTTGTCTGAACATCGTAAGTAGGCTATTAGCTTTGAAAAGTTTTTTATTTTATGGTATTAATACAAATTAAGTTTATCACAATCTGCGCGTGCAAAACTCGCATGCAAAATATTTTTTGCATGTTTATATGATTTTAATGTGTGAAAAACGCAGGTTCCTGCGTTAACGGGAACACTGATTGTCTTACCTACGTAAGGTTCCGCTCCAATCAAGCTAACTGGAGCCACCACTCTCAAACCTTGTTATATTGTATCCAATGTTTTTGTACTGCTTAACATGTCTACACATAACTGACTGATTCTTGTATTCTCATGCAGGCTGAGTTGTTACCCCGGTACATATACTACTCAACATATGTTAGGTCAGACTGACTTCACTGATGTGGCACAAGGGAATGTTCTTTAACTTCTTTTGAGTAGTATATGACCACCAAACTAATGTTTAGTTTTACATAGAGAGTTTGAGTTTCTTTGATCTAACTCCTGGACATTGTGAAATGAATCCCACAAGTGAGTGAGTGAGTGGGTATGGTTTTACGCCGCTTTTAGCAATATTCCAGCAATATCACGGCAGGGGACACAAGAAATGGGCTTCACACATTGTACCCTTCTCGGGAATCGAACCCGGGTCTTCGGCGTGACGAGCGAACGCTTTAACCACTAGGCTACCCAACCGCCCCGAATCCCACAAAAGACAGTGGACCAGACGTGTACTAGCCAGCAACTCCACTGAGTGGACTGTACATGTGTAGTAGTCAGGGACTCCACTGAGTGGACTGTACATGTGTAGTAGTCACTGTCCAGGGACTCCACTGAGTGGACTGTACATGTGTAGTAGTCAGGGACTCCACTGAGTGGACTGTACATGTGTAGTAGTCACTGTCCAGGGACTCCACTGAGTGGACTGTACATGTGTAGTAGTCACTGTCCAGGGACTCCACTGAGTGGACTGTACATGTGTAGTAGTCACTGTCCAGGGACTCCACTGAGTGGACTGTACATGTGTAGTAGTCAGGGACTCCACTCAGTGGACTATACATGTGTAGTAGTCACTGTCCAGGGACTCCACTGAGTGGACTGTACATGTGTAGTAGTCACTGTCCAGGGACTCCACTGAGTGGACTGTACATGTGTAGTAGTCACTGTCCAGGGACTCCACTGAGTGGACTGTACATGTGTAGTAGTCACTGTCCAGGGACTCCACTGAGTGGACTGTACATGTGTAGTAGTCAGGGACTCCACTGAGTGGACTGTACATGTGTAGTAGTCAGGGACTCCACTGAGTGGACTGTACATGTGTAGTAGTCAGGGACTCCACTGAGTGGACTGTACATGTGTAGTAGTCAGGGACTCCACTGAGTGGACTGTACATGTGTAGTAGTCAGGGACTCCACTGAGTGGACTGTACATGTGTAGTAGTCAGGGACTCCACTGAGTGGACTGTACATGTGTAGTAGTCAGCAACTCCACTGAGTGGACTGTACATGTGTAGTAGTCAGGGACTCCACTGAGTGGACTGTACATGTGTAGTAGTCAGGGACTCCACTGAGTGGACTGTACATGTGTAGTAGTCAGGGACTCCACTGAGTGGACTGTACATGTGTACTAGCCAGCAACTCCACTGAGTGGACTGTACATGTGTAGTAGTCAGGGACTCCACTGAGTGGACTGTACATGTGTAGTAGTCAGCAACTCCACTGAGTGGACTGTACATGTGTAGTAGTCAGGGACTCCACTGAGTGGACTGTACATGTGTAGTAGTCAGGGACTCCACTGAGTGGACTGTACATGTGTAGTAGTCACTGTCCAGGGACTCCACTGAGTGGACTGTACATGTGTAGTAGTCAGGGACTCCACTGAGTGGATTGTACATGTGTAGTAGTCACTGTCCAGGGACTCCACTGAGTGGACTGTACATGTGTAGTAGTCAGGGACTCCACTGAGTGGACTGTACATGTGTAGTAGTCACTGTCCAGGGACTCCACTGAGTGGACTGTACATGTGTAGTAGTCAGGGACGCCACTGAGTGGACTGTACATGTGTAGTAGTCAGCAACTCCACTGAGCGGACTGTACATGTGTACTAGCCAGCAACTCCACTGAGTGGACTGTACATGTGTAGTAGTCACTGTCCAGGGACTCCACTGACTAGACTGTACATGTGTAGTAGTCAGGGACTCCACTGAGTGGACTGTACATGTGTAGTAGTCACTGTCCAGGGACTCCACTGAGTGGACTGTACATGTGTAGTAGTCACTGTCCAGGGACTCCACTGAGTGGACTGTACATGTGTAGTAGTCACTGTCCAGGGACTCCACTGAGTGGACTGTACATATGTCGTAGGCGGGGACTCCACCGAGTGGACTGTACATGTGTAGTAGTCACTGTCCAGGGACTCCACTGAGTGGACTGTACATGTGTAGTAGTCACTGTCCAGGGACTCCACTGAGTGGACTGTACATGTGTAGTAGTCAGGGACTCCACTGAGTGGACTGTACATGTGTAGTAGTCACTGTCCAGGGACTCCACTGAGTGGACTGTACATGTGTAGTAGTCACTGTCCAGGGACTCCACTGAGTGGACTGTACATATGTCGTAGTCAGGGACTCCACTGAGTGGACTGTACATGTGTAGTAGTCAGGGACTCCACTGAGTGGACTGTACATGTGTAGTAGTCACTGTCCAGGGACTCCACTGAGTGGACTGTACATATGTCGTAGTCAGGGACTCCACTGAGTGGACTGTACATGTGTAGTAGTCACTGTCCAGGGACTCCACTGAGTGGACTGTACATGTGTAGTAGTCACTGTCCAGGGACTCCACTGAGTGGACTGTACATGTGTAGTAGTCACTGTCCAGGGACTCCACTGAGTGGACTGTACATGTGTAGTAGTCACTGTCCAGTGACTCCACTGAGTGGATTGTACATGTGTAGTAGTCAGGGACTCCACTGAGTGGACTGTACATGTGTAGTAGTCAGGGACTCCACTGAGTGGACTGTACATGTGTAGTAGTCAGGGACTCCACTGAGTGGACTGTACATGTGTAGTAGTCACTGTCCAGGGACTCCACTGAGTGGACTGTACATATGTCGTAGTCGGGGACTCCACTGAGTGGACTGTACATGTGTAGTAGTCAGGGACTCCACTGAGTGGACTGTACATGTGTAGTAGTCAGGGACTCCACTGAGTGGACTGTACATGTGTAGTAGTCACTGTCCAGGGACTCCACTGAGTGGACTGTACATATGTCGTAGTCAGGGACTCCACTGAGTGGACTGTACATGTGTAGTAGTCAGGGACTCCACTGAGTGGACTGTACATGTGTAGTAGTCACTGTCCAGGGACTCCACTGAGTGGACTGTACATATGTCGTAGTCAGGGACTCCACTGAGTGGACTGTACATGTGTAGTAGTCAGGGACTCCACTGAGTGGACTGTACATGTGTAGTAGTCACTGTCCAGGGACTCCACTGAGTGGACTGTACATGTGTAGTAGTCACTGGCCAGGGACTCCACTGAGTGGACTGTACATGTGTAGTAGTCACTGTCCAGGGACTCCACTGAGTGGACTGTACATGTGTAGTAGTCACTGTCCAGGGACTCCACTGAGTGGACTGTACATGTGTAGTAGTCAGGGACTCCACTGAGTGGACTGTACATGTGTAGTAGTCAGGGACTCCACTGAGTGGACTGTACATATGTCGTAGTCGGGGACTCCACTGAGTGGAATGTACATGTGTAGTAGTCACTGTCCAGGGACTCCACTGAGTGGACTGTACATGTGTAGTAGTCACTGTCCAGGGACTCCACTGAGTGGACTGTACATGTGTAGTAGTCACTGTCCAGGGACTCCACTGAGTGGACTGTACATGTGTAGTAGTCAGGGACTCCACTGAGTGGACTGTACATGTGTAGTAGTCACTGTCCAGGGACTCCACTGAGTGGACTGTACATGTGTAGTAGTCACTGTCCAGGGACTCCACTGAGTGGACTGTACATATGTCGTAGTCAGGGACTCCACTGAGTGGACTGTACATGTGTAGTAGTCAGGGACTCCACTGAGTGGACTGTACATGTGTAGTAGTCACTGTCCAGGGACTCCACTGAGTGGACTGTACATGTGTAGTAGTCACTGTCCAGGGACTCCACTGAGTGGACTGTACATATGTCGTAGTCAGGGACTCCACTGAGTGGACTGTACATGTGTAGTAGTCAGGGACTCCACTGAGTGGACTGTACATGTGAAGTAGTCACTGTCCAGGGACTCCACTGAGTGGACTGTACATGTGTAGTAGTCACTGGCCAGGGACTCCCCTGAGTGGACTGTACATGTGTAGTAGTCACTGTCCAGGGACTCCACTGAGTGGACTGTACATGTGTAGTAGTCACTGTCC